CTCGAAATGTTACAACCGTTGTTCCCGTGAGAAGCTGCCCAATTCGCACGACGATATGCTCTCCTCGACGCTTCTGGTGCCCAGAAAGCAGCCAAAATCCACGAAACCTAGACGAAATTTCCACGAGGTTGAGATGGAAAGGTGCAGAATAGACAAAACTTACCAGAGCCCCGACTACAGGAAGTCAATACAGTAACCAAAGTAATGTCTATATTCCCAAGCGATTAAGTTCGCACTACAACTCACTATACAAAAATCACGCCGATTATAAGTATAGATAGTACCGAACTACCGAAATCATTGCAAAAACGAAGCACTAGTAGCAATGGACGACAAACTACTTATTCAGCAATTTCCGTTATCTGCATATAAAGAGACAGAGATACTCTCCTAAATCTCTTCTCGATTTTTCTCCAGAGACGATAGAGCGCAGCATCCAAAGGACGCAGCAATGGCAGTCTATAAGCTGAACCGTACACTGCCATAGGAAACGTCTCATCAGAGAGCTAGTGTTCCCTCCCAGGCGAGATTGGACGCCGTCAGACCTTCTCACAGATCTCACGTGCATCAATCCTACCATGTTATGATCTCAATGTTATGGATGTATCAAGTTACACGAGTAAAACAAAACATCGCTGACCTACATTACGAACATATATGGAAAATGGAACTGCAACCTCAGATGACTGGAAGGACAGAGTTCAGTGTCAACAAACAATTAAAGTGTAGTGTCGGACCAAATGATTTTCAGTGTGGTCATCTTCGAAACTCTCACATACGCGAAGAAAATAGACTTATCTAATGGACAGTTATCACAAGTTCTTTCCATTTGTACTTTCCTTTTTTAACTAACGATTTTTTTTATGTAATGTTTTTATTTATCATTGATGTAGGTATGATTTTAACACAATTTTATGTTTTTTATTTCATTCGATTACTTAGGTAATTCATTTGATTGACTCATTATTTGATTTGATTATTATTTTGTATCACGTGTATAGGTAGTTATAGACACTTGAAGCTGTGGGGCCAGCTTCGTCAAACAGGGGAGATGTGTCAAGAAGTACAAATGTCTATGAAATAACTTTCGTTCATTTCTAGATCTTTAATCCTAAATTAACTTTTCCAAATTAGAACATCTTGTACAACGTTTCGATCAGGTCAAAGCGGAGTTCATAGACTCTAGTTCCGGTAAAATTTGCATGAAACCGCTTAGCTTGCGATGCGGGCCAAGCTTTACGCCCGGTATCGAGCATTGCCATTGCGGAAAATTGCAATGTTAGCATCGATTCCAAATATAAATAGATTCCGAATCGATAAGCCAGCCATTACTAGATTCATTACTGATTATTGATTATTACTATTCATTACTGATTTTTGATTATTATTGACCACTCATTCCTGATTACATTACTATTTGATTATTACTAAGTAAAATGCATTTCGATAACACTTTACTTTATTCCGTAATTGAGTTACTAATTCACGAGTTGCTGCCAAAAAGTGTACCGTCCTCCCGACTTTGATCCTGCTGGTCAACCCATGTTAGATGTCATAATGTAAGTACTGTTTTTTTCCCAATGTTGTTTTGCGTTGATCTTTTCTTTTCCTTTTTGTTAACCTGCCATGTGGCAGCATCTATTCATAAAACTTTTTATTCAATTAATAAATGTTACTTTTCTATGAAAACTGTCCGGTCTCTTTATTTGGGGGTGAATAGGGTTGGATGGTGAAATGATCAAAATCCTCTCATTAAGCCAAGCGAGTAGCCAAGTTGCGATCCATATGAGGGCAACATCTGAGTTGCGACATGTGGTGGACACGCCGTTTGCCAAATAATCTACCAAAACCATCTGAGTTGCGACAATATACAGCACACAATCGCCTATAGGTTTGTTCGCGTTCACAAAATCAACCCAGATATGCCTAAATCTTTTTTGAGGAAATCAGAACTCTGAATGCTTCATATTTCATCTGACTGAAACTAGCTCACCACCGCAAACCGTTTCTTGCTGTGAGCTCCCTACGTTTTATAAAAAATTATTGAAATCCCCGATTTTTCGGACCTCTGAATACGAGGCGATGATGTGACGTCAAAACCCTAATACTGAAACAAGACTATTCCAGACAGAGATGAATGATACATGATTTCTGATAGAGTGAATTAGCGCGAGATCACAGTTGAAAGAATTAATATATCAGTTGTCTCAGTCTCCGTCGGGCTTTTAGTATTTTTTTTAACTATGGCGAGATGAGGTTTCTACGTCATAAGAGTGTCCGTTTCCAGAAGGTACTATTATTTATGTCCAAAAATAAAATATTCCAGTTAATTTTTCGATCGAATTATGTCGTCAATCATCATTATTTATGTATAAAATGATCATTTTATGAACATGGTTCATTGGACCAATTGGCTTTGGTGCCGGATTAATGGAATATTGACAAAGAACCTATAGGTACTATAAATAGTGGTGCCATTGATTTGAATGATAGGTGAGAATGTCGGTGGAAGTGAGGGATGAAAGAGGATGTGAAAATTCATTACAAGTAACAATGAATGAAACTGAATAAAACTAATGATGATAATTCGAAAATGAAAATATGTTCATGGAAGGGAGATTTCTTCTCATTCTAATGAATCTCCCGAAAAGTTCAGGCAATGATTTTGCGGTTATTATATTATTTTGGGAAAACTGATGGATATCGTAACATAAGACGTCGTAAGTTGTTGTTCTTAGTAATCCTCTAATTCATTTTAAATTTCTCATAAATAGCAAATGTATGTGCATTCGGGACATATCAAGAACAATTATTCACTTTATAAATACTTTGAATTCCTAGTAAAGTTTTTTGACTCATTCGTCAAAGCATTTCTATCAACTTAAATTAATCTTTCCTGCTTCCTTTTTCGTTTTTATCTTCATTGTTAATCAAGGAGATGAATTATGTTGAACTTCAGTTAGTAAAGTCAAGGACGAAATAAATTGGCTTCTTTTCTTTGAACGAAAGCTTTAGGATGTGCAAAAGAATCGGATCAAGAAACCCTTCATGATACCCACATAATATGTATACATTCAACTGAAAACTTCTATTCTAGCAAAACACATATGTTTTCATTGAAGGAATATCAAATTTTGATTAAAAAATGATGGCAGAATGGAATTTTTGTTACAAACAGATATAACATTATACTGAATGTCCTAAAATAAGACGACTAAAGATTTTTCACGTATTTCGAACAACTGGTCAAAAATTGAAGCATATACTATGCAGGAAACCAATTTATAACAGCATGTACAGACGTTTTATAATAATAATAATATGACTTTTATTGCTGCAACGCCTGCTGTTTTACATATTAAACGAAAAATAAGAAAATAATGATATATACTATATTCCACGTTCTTTATTATAAAGAAGGTTGGCTGCATAGCAAAGGCAAATTTCGCACTGATACTCAATTTCAGAAGCCGCGTTCTTCCACTTCACCTGATTATAGGGACAATAATTGATATGTAGAAACAGTAGAAAAGCAAAGGTCAAGTTTGTCTTGAAGATAAAACTGTATCGATATACTGTTAGAAAAACAGAAATCAATTCGATGTATTAACAGCGGCTGTTTTATAAAAATGACTATATCCACACTGTAATCAGGCGATTCAATTGTATTTGTAAATTGAGTATCCTACAGTATCGGAGGTAACGATCCTACCTACGTATGTAAATTATTTTCTTGTACGTATACCCAGCGAGCACAAAAACATCTCAGAAATGTTAAAAGTACGAGATTTCGAGACATGCAACCTCCACTGCGATGTTCTGTTCACACATGAATAGAACTATTATAGAATAGCCAATATCCGCCGCAGGCGGCAATTATCGAGATGTCCTTGATATGTCACAAAACTACCTTCTCCCGAGTTCTTTTTAAAGCCTTTTCATGGACACAACAAAACATTTTCAACGCGTCTTGCGCACATTAAATAGCTGAAAAAAACCCACTTTCGAGGTACTTTTCTGAAGCCTTTTGTCAAAATGAACTTTTGCATTAGGATTCCATTTCCCTTGAATGAAAAAATGCATTAAAAATAGATTGAACATAAAAATATTTTCTTGATATGAAATTACCTTCTTAATCGGTTTCTGAGTAGTGCTTACTACACACAGACATATAATTGGAAATAGGTTTCCCAATTTTTGAAATGTTCTCCACAATGCATAATTTTGCAACTGCGGAGAAGCTGTGTATTGATAAATTCGTACTTTTATATATTGATTACACTGAGGCACCGCACAACACATCTTGCATCTGATGGTCATTATTACAAACTAAATAAGTCTTCTAACACAATAAACTTCACCAAATTCCTTTCTGTTCGTTAGCAGCGTGATGTAAGCGTGACACGCTGCAAACGCGAATGCCAATTGCGAACAAGAAGAACAAAATCGAAAACAAATCAGAATTCATCGTATTGTGACGTAAGCATGAGACGTTGTGGTGGGGCAAACAAAGAAAGGGCACAAAAGAACAAAAACAATACTTTCAATATCCTTCTAAGACCTCTGGGAAGTGCATATTACGCCTCAAAAAAACATCCTCATGCCTACATTTCTAAAACATCCCAAAACATCCCAGGGATACCTCTCAGTAGGCAAACAAAGAATTGCCACAGAAGAACAAAAACAATACTTCAATATCCTTCAAAAACCTCTTTGGTCAGTGCATATTACGTCTCAAAATAACACCTTCATGCCAACATTTTCAAAACATCCCAGGGATGTTTGTGCTCGCTGGGTAGGTACTATAAATCTTTTGTTTTGAACATGAGCGCAGCATTGATAATAAAATGGAGGAGAGCTTACTGCAAAAAATATAATAGTAACAGATGTTGTGTGCATTCAATTAACAGTTTTTTGTTCTAGCCATTCATTGAATTTTGTTAAACTTTTGTTGAACAATTATTTTCAAAAGGAATATCAAATGTCAATTTTCATTTCAGATACGCAGAGGTATGTTGTTACTTTCACCACAAGTCAATCGTATATTGAAGTACCAGGTTGGAGGAAAGGAGATCTAGCCTTTTCCTTCAGGACAACAGGCAAAAAGGCAATTCTTCTGTACCAACCACCTATCAGACCTAACTATCCCAGTTTCATGGTTGCATTAACCAGTGGTGAGTCAAAGAACCTCATTTCCAAAAATCATATTTTGCACATGCGATTTTTGTATCTAAATAATAAAAATTCGAGAGGTGATTCCTTGTGATATTCTAGAAAATAAAGTTCATATAAAAATGTGTCCTAACTAGCTCCGTTTTTGAGATACAGGATGTTGAAATGGAAAGTATTAATTGTTTTTATTCATAACCCCCCTGTATAGGCTTTCATGGTGCCAAAATTCAGTATGGTTGGAGACTGAAGAAGCCACAAAATTCCAAAATGATACTAATTGGGGTTATTGAGTAATCTCAATGGGAGTCTTGAAAACATGCCTACATTAAAATTTTGAGTCAAATCGAGCTTTGGTGTTTTTTGTTATTCATCATAATAATTAAGTTTTAAGTTTGAATGATGTGATGAATAATTAAGGAATGAGAAATCAAAAAATATTATATGAATTGAGTTTGAAAGTATAAGAAGTATAATAATCACTCACATAAATTTTACCTAAAATTTTTTTTTGAAAATCTGAAATTCTGAGCTTGTTTTCGAAAATAGTTGTATACAATTATATATTTTTGGAAAGCCCACTTCATGCACAATGAATATATGAAATAATATGCAGGGTGTTCCATTTAAAAAAAACATATGTTTGCTCCATAACTAAAAAACAAAAGGTGCCAGCAAAAAAATAACTACGCACTGGATCCTACGAAAAAAACTGTATAAGAACAAGTTTCAACTTCTTTGATAAGTTTAAAGGTAACTGAGACACGGGGGGTGCCTGAAAAGTGATATTTTTCAATTCCACCCTGTATCTCGACAACCGGAAGAGCTATCACAATTCTGCTCGCGCCATTATTGATTTCATAAAAAAAGTAGCACACTGTCGCAAAAACCGCAATGCTCTATCTTTACTGATAAGGAAGATACCCCGCAAAAGTGCCCAAATTGGGATACCCTGTACAATAGGAGCACTAAGGAACTGAACATATCGTTTTAGATTTCTGTTTCAACAGTCTTCTGTACTTGCTGCATGTTTTGGGACAACAGTAAACTATCTCGTGGATACGAGAACATATTGGAAAGCTTCAAATTTTATCAAAATCCACTCGATTGCACAATGCTAAATTTGTTCGTTTTGTTTATCACCTCCGCCATTTTCATTTTGCCCCTCGACAAAAGACGACTGGGGAAACAGTGACGTCAGGCCAGAAAAAATATGAGGCAACCTTATAGAGTTAAATAGCCTAGGGAACAATGTTGATGCCGAAATTGATTCTTGTGAAAGGCCGGAATAGATAGCACTACATGAAGTGATCTGCCTAAAAGGAAACTGAGCCAGAAACGAAGGTCAACTATAGTATATTGATTCATGGAAACCATCCATCCTTCTCAATGTGGTCCAACATTTTTCAAAGAAAAAAACAGTATAGGCTCTTAGTGGAACTTCTCAGACGGCATTGTAGGCTCAACAAAGACATGAGTACTATTGGTCTGGTTGTGCAGGTTCTGTCAAGAAGAGGAGTAAACAGCACTACATATTCTTTACCACTCTGAGGGTTCGTCAAACTAAGGTTCCTTATGCTGGGAGAGGAGAACCCAAGAGCCCAAAGATATACAGGGGATCTGAATGCTAACTTATGGAGTCTCATGGAGGAGGCAAAGCTAGTCAGAGAACTCTGAACGATTTCGAGGGCAGATACAATAGGTCTGAAAAAGTTGCGGTGTGGATGATTTTATTCTAATCTAATCTCAATCTTATCTCAGATGGGCGACTCTTACACCTTTTTGCATAATTACTACGATCCCCTGGTACAGCTTAAGATCTTGACAACTTTTTCTACGCGGTGTCTGATGATAGATTTTTGAGGTGGCGATCGCTTAAAAATTTGCCCACTGTACTGTTATCAAGAGATAGAATCAATATTTTATGACACCAATATTCAATTTTCTAGAATTACAACTCCATGTCGTTTGTGGTCTATGGTCGAAACTTTCATCGATGCATACGGTTTTTATGGTACTTGTGACGTCAGTACCACCGGGAAGTTGAAAACTTGTAAACATATTTTGCTGTTCCCCATACCTATGTTGTGGTGGTGTTTCTTCAAGATGTTACCCAGCGAGCACAAAAACATCTCAGAGATGTTAAAAGTACGAGATTTCGAGACATTGAACCTCCACTGCGATGTTCTGTTCACACATGAATAGAACTATTATAGAACGGCCAATGTCCGCCGCAGTCGGCAATTATCGAGATGTCCTTGATATGTCACAAAACTACCTTCTCCCTAGTTCTTTTTAAAGCCTTTTCATGGACACAACAGAACATTTTCAACGCGTCTTGCGCACATTAAATCGCTGTAAAAAACCATTTTCGAGGTACTTTTCTGAAGCCTTTTGTCAAAATGAACTTTTGCATTAGGATTCCATTTCCCTTGGATGAAAAAATGCATTAAAAATAGATTGAACATAAAAATATTTTCTTGATATGAAATTACCTTCTTAAAAGGTTTCTGAGTAGTGCTTACTACACACAGACATATAATTGGAAATAGGTTTCCCAATTTTTGAAATGTTCTCCACAATGCATAATTTTGCAACTGCGGAGAAGCTGTGTATTGATAAATTCGTACTTTTATATATTGATTACACTGAGGCACCGAACAACACATCTTGCATCTGATGGTCATTATTACAAACTAAATAAGTCTTCTAACACAATAAACTTCACCAAATTCCTTTCTGTTCGTTAGCAGCGTGATGTAAGCGTGACACGCTGCAAACGCGAATGCCAATTGCGAACAAGAAGAACAAAATCGAAAACAAATCAGAATTCATCGTATTGTGTCGTAAGCATGAGACGTTATTGTGGTGGGGCAAACAAAGAAAGGACACAAAAGAACAAAAACAATACTTTCAATATCCTTCTAAGACCTCTTTGGGAAGTGCATATTACGCCTCAAAAAAACATCCTCATGCCTACATTTCTAAAACATCCCAAAACATCCCAGGGATACCTCTCAGTAGGCAAACAAAGAAATGCCACAGAAGAACAAAAACAATACTTCAATATCCTTCAAAAACTTCTTTGGTCAGTGCACATTACGTCTCAAAATAACATCTTCATGCCAACATTTTCAAAACATCCCAAAACATCCCAGGGATGTTTGTGCTCGCTGGGATCGGGAAGTTGAAAACTTGAAAACACATTTTGTGCTGTTCCACATACCTATGTTGTGGTGGTGTTTTCTCAAGAAGTTAGTGATGTCTCCTAATATTATGTTCACTTATTTGCTTCGAATTTTCGTTGCATTATTTTTTCTAGATTTCCAATTGACCTTCAATTTCACCCTGAACACTGGTGTGTCCAAGGAATTGGTGATAATATCGGGTAGGAAATTGAATGGTGGGGAGTGGCACAAAGTTTGGATAGACTACAACAAGTACCATGTGAGATTCATGATAAACGAAGATTTCCAGATGGTGAATTTGAAGCCCGAAGAGGAATTCGGGCCCTTTGAGGGTTCCATGTTTATTGGGGGAGCAATCAGGTGAGTGAGATGATATTTTCGAGTCATCAAAATTTGTTCCATCAGTAATACAGTGTGTCCCACTTACTATGCTCACCATGGGTTTATTTTTAACGGTGAGAGATACGAGGTCGGTTGAATGACACCAAATGTGAAGTTAGTCAGGGCGAACTATAATGTGAAAAAATATTTTCATGAAATCTATTCGTTTTTGTTTTATACGCAAAAAACAGATTTTGATCATTTTCATGTCTCCTCCGTAACTTCTTTATTTATGAAAATATTCAAATAGGAATTTCACATTCTCATGGCAGTTTTTCAAAGTGATTTCGAAAAAAATATGGAATTTATACCAACTCTTCTAGAATTTGAGATATCAGCACCAACTTTAGTTTTTCAAATGTATAGGTTATAGCTCACTATGACTTAGTTACAAATAACTTTTTTTCTCTTACAGATAATATGTCGCAGTAATAGTTTTTTGTTGATAACAACGGAGTTATCGTCATTTATACAAAAACAAAAAGTTATTTGGAAGCCGCCATCTTGAATTTATAAATTTCAACAAAAAAATCATTATCTCCGACCTCAAAAACCCCCACTTACCAATTTTGAATGGAATCGGACCAAATCTTGTCCGCCATCAATTAAAAAAAATGACTGCTCCAAGATGGCGATTTGGGAATAATAGAGATTATTATTATTATTATTAAATCTATATGATTTTAATTATAAGTGTTCGTATAAAGTATAAGACCTAAAATAAGTGGGTCCTGATGCTTCAGGTGTGAAGCATCCTTGCATTTCGGAAAAAATAATTAATAAATATTCTTTTCGAAACGAACCTGTCAAAAATAACTGTCAAGAGGCCTATGAATTGAGTATGATTCTTAATTCCATGACCTCTTGTAGGTTTGAAAATCTACTTTTTCATCACCTATCAAAATTATTGCCGTTTTAAACTTGACCACCTTATATATTTTTGTTATTGTCTGAGATTGATTATACAGGGACGCGATAGACCTCTCCAACCTGTCAGTTGGCCTTCGAATTGAGTATGATTCATAATAAATTTCATGACCAATTGTAGGATTGAGAATCTACTTTTTCATCGCCTACCAAAATTATTGACGTTAAAACTTGACCACCTTGTACATACATTTATATTATTGTCTGAGATTAATAATTACACATGGACGTGATAGACCTCTCAGATCGAGTATGAGTCGGAAAATGTCCATGCACAAATGGTGCCGGCAACAGTTATTTCAAATTTAATTTGTCCAAAACTCTTTGAAAGTATAAATTTTCAAAATCAGGTCATTAGAAAATTCACAGGGGAAAGAGGACAGGAGTAACACTTTATTCGATGGAATGGGAACGTCTCGTTTGACCTAATTTTCGATTCGACCAATTTTCGATTCGACCAATTTTCGATTCACCGAATTTTCGATTCACCAAATTCTCGATTCACTCACCGTCTCCGAAAATACCCGAAAGATGCGTTGTTGTCAAATAATGCCACATTTCCTCGGATTCAATGAAACTGGTATATTATTAGAAATCATTCCACATTCAAATATGTCGTTGGCCAACATTTCGTTACTCCCAATATTCGATTTGCCTAATATTCGATTCGCCCAATTTTTGATTCACCCAATTTTCGATTCCCCCAATTTTCGATTCACCCAATTGTCGATTCACCCAATTTTCAATCCGCACAATTTTCGATTCACCCAATTTTCAATTCACCCAATTTTATGCCTACGTATATAGCCGATTATGTTTTGCAAGTGTCATTTGGAGTCCTATTCAAATCAATCACAAAGTTTGATTGGAGAGAGTTTAAATCAAATTTGTGAGATTTCTGGATTTCAGAGGGAACAATTCATAACACTATTGAGGTTATTGACCAAACTAGACGAAGCTTTGAACTTTTAACATAAGAGCAACGTAGAATTATGTCAGATTTATTATTTGTCTATAAAATACTATAACTCTTCCGTGTTGTTATCATTCATCTTATGGCATCTACCATCTAGACTAGACTCTCAAGACTAAAGATATTTTTAAACGTCAATTTTCGTCACACAAATTTGGGACTGAACTCGCCAATAAGTATAGGTTGAGTGACAACTTCAATAAATATTGCAGCAACGTAGACGTTTATTGTACATCATATTATCAGAAAACAGATCTTCGTTTGATGTATTCATGTTGCTATAAAGGAAAAGTGTCTATAAGCTTATGACAATAAATGAGCATATTTTGAATTTAATTGTGACAAGTGGTCATTTATAGAACACGAATGTTTTTACTTTCTTATATAGAAATAAATTGTAGGTACTTTATCACGCCACTGGTTAATATAACTAGTCAGTTCATTTGTTCTCAAATCACTCGAATCTGATATTAGTCCTGATTAAAGGTCAACAATCATGATCATGAAAACAAATATTCGTCCCTGTGAACGCTAGACTTGTTTATCATACATTGTTATGAATCAACAAATTATCTCACTGAATAGACCAGTATAATATGACTATTGAAATAATAATTGACGGTTATCGAGAATGAACAATAAGAGTCTGAGCAATAATGAATATAGGTATAGCAAAAAATTGCCGGTCATGGAACAATAGTGTTAATCCTCCATATATAATAATTCCATTTCTAGAAGTTTGTAAAAACAACTACTTTTTTATGGGAAAATGACAGCTAAAATTTTTTAAATAATGGCTGAGCGCCTTCTTGAACTATCTTGACAGTTATATTCAATACATCCTGAATCCAATAGTTTTCGAAATATTAATGTTTGAAAAGTGACGTTTTGGTAATTTCAAGCCCAACAAAAAACTCGAATGTTGGTTTCAATCAACTTTGTTCCGGAAAATAATGGTTGTTGCGGTAGCATCTTGTTGTTTTTCAAGAAACTTGATTGAAAGCAACATCCCAGTTTTTGGTTAGGTATGAAATGACGAAAATATCACTTTTCAAACATCAATATTTCGAAAACTATTGAATTTAGGAGTAAAGTGTATTGAATGAAGCTGTTAAAAAATATGGGAAGATTTCGTGTCAACAGTTATCACCACATGTCTCCTGGTATTGCCTTCGAAATCGTGCCGAAAAGTAAAAATAATGCGGAAAAGTGAAATCGTACTGAAAAGTACGACTTTCAAAACAAAAAATCATGCGGAATAGTATATTACATAACAAGAGTTGTAAAACGCATATTACGCACGAAGTGGAGAGAGTTACACACGATGCCGCATAGCGGCGAGTGTGTAACTCCACAAGTGCGTAATTGCTTTACAACTCGAGAATTGTACTATACTTTTTCTACGACTACACTATATTTTCTTCCGGATTGTGCAGATATTGTAATATGGCACAAATAACGAATACCTATATATACACGTCTCGCGTCACTAAACCAGCTGCATGAAAAGTTTCAAATCAAAATTCTTGTGTTTGTTTATTGATACATTGCATACTGAGACATTTTCCTCAATTCGAACTGAAATGGAGCCGTTTTTCATATGTAAACAACTTTATCAATAGCAGAAAACACATTATATAAAAATATGAAATTAAAATTCATAATGGTTATTTTTCATTGTAACAGTGCAGAACGAGAGATTCTGTAATCGTTATTAAAAATAATAAAAAAAAAAGTTCTCCAATTGCGCTCTGAACCGCCGACATTAATTGATATCAGCAGATATTTTATAAATACTATCTCGAAGAATGATCTTTCCTAATTATTCCTTTTATTTAAAGAAAAAGGAATTCATCAATTCAATGTTGAGTATGTATGTTATTTGAAAAATTACCTTCATGAATAAATATTCATCAACAGGAGCATTCTGCAGAAAATAATTGATCTGTTCAGCATTAAGTATTTTCGATTTTTTACTTCGGAATCCATCCGATTTCCTTTTGAGGAAATGGGATATGTTGCTATATTAATATTTAGTGTTGATCGCAACATGGAATATATCGACCAGTGATAATGATTTCATCGAATTTGTTATTTCTTGAAAATATACTAAAAGGATATGTTCCGAAAACGACACAGTATTATTTCTAATTCTCCAGTCCACGAATTTTTGATTTGCTATTTCGTATCATTCACGAGACTCATCGGGTAGCAACTCATTTTTAGCCATTCTAACTTTTTCCAACATTTCTGGTGGTGTAGAAATAATCTGCTCATCGTCATAGCTACTGACATTAATAAAATAGTTAATTGTTATTGACACATCGCCTAAGCAAAAAAACAAAGTCATCTATCAACATACCATGAAAACCGTGCGATCGCTCTCTTTACGCACACGTGTGTAAGGAGAAGCTTACTGCCATTGTTTTGTGTACAATATTCATCACTCACAGTAGTAGTCGTAGGAAAAAGTTACTAAATAACTATCATTTCACTAGGCAGGAAAGCACAAGATTTAATGCAGCGGCTATCGTTTCATAGCCAAGGCGTAGCCGAGGATAGGAAACCAGCCAAAGCATTGAATCTGCTTTTCTGTCACGTGAAACATATAATTTCTTATCCAAATTCGTCCATTTCACGCGAATATAATCCATCATTTTGTGTTCACCAAAGTCATTCTCCATTTTGATTACCAATTTGATTCGAATTATTACTTGAAACTTTGCATAGTAACAAACTTTTCCTGTCTATATATGGGCAGTATATTCCTGTCTAGTCAGAGGAAGTACAACTTTCGTGCCGGTCAAGTGGAGAAAAAATATTATCGTCTCCTATTTAAACCCTTCAAATATCGTTGTTATATACCAAGTGGTTCAGAAATTAGTAGAGAGAACACGGACTAAACGGGCACTGTATAATTTGAATCCCAAAAGGCTCAAGGTATACCCTGACGATTAGCTAGAAATTCCCCATGTCTGGAAATATATCTCGTTGGATAAGGAAACGCAATGACAGTTACTATCATGTCATTGGCTCGCTTATACTGACCCACTGAGGTACAACGACGTTTTTCGCGGCGTAGAGGTCAATAGCGTAGTCAAGGGGCACCAATGCCTGATATACTCATTATTTATCAAATAATCATCAGTACACTTGACAATACTGATATTGAAAGACGCCTATCAGCCTTTTTCTGGCAGATTTTCCTACGTTTTGAGCAAAATTTTAGTGACCTTCTCGACCCCAAATCGTCAGTCCACCAAGGCCTGATCGGCTGTTTCCGAGGCCTGGTGGTGAACGAAGAGGTCTTGGACATCTACAGCTACATGAGCGTCCATCTCAGCGAGATCATCAAGGAGTGCAAGCCGTCGTGCGACCCGAATCCCTGCCAAAATGGCGCCCAATGCAAGGAGTTGTGGAGCAACTTCCAGTGCATCTGCCCGAATCCGTGGGCGTACAGTGGAGAATATTGTGAGACAAGTGAGTTGAGACCTGCTTTGATGTGGTCGATGAAGATTATGGTATATTTTTCACTGACCGTAGTCGGAGATCCAGAACCGAACATTCTTGAGCATCCTGGAACATTGTATAGATTCAAGAAAATTTTCGAACATTCTAGAGTATTCTCGGACATTCGAGGACATAATCGAGTATTCTGGAACATTCTAGAGCATTCGCGAAGGTTCTGGAACATTTTGAAACATTTTTGAACATTCTGGTCACCGACTTTCCTTAAGAAGCCCATTATTTCCATGTTCCCTTGACACCCTTATCACCGAACCCAACCCTTGCAGTTTCTGGCCGGAACATAATTCATTGATACTACATTTGGGCTACAGGGTGTTTTCAGACGCTACCATTTTCAATCCTCTCTGGAAATTGTTTTAAAGTATCTTTGATCAATCTCAGTTGATGTTTCACTCATGGTTTTTCGATCCGATAAAGATAATACTCGCTCGAGACTGAAAAAGTTCAGGTTTGGAATATTTGGAGGGTGAAAAATATACTTCCCAGCCAAAGAGCCAAATTAATTCAACATTTTGATGGAACTCAGAGTTCACAGATATCTGGCTATCGATCCAAATGGGTTTGTCAACTTCCTGAACATTTCCAGGGGATTTGAAGAAGATTCTAGATGCAGAAGTTTATCCAGTCGCTAACATGTTACCCTTTCTGGGAGGCTTTTCTACAAACAGCGACAGTTCTGAAGGATTTTAGAGTCTTTCTGACCAATCTCAGGTGATCTTCCACTAATGGTTATTCGCTCCGATATAGAGATGGTTTGGGACTAAGACAGAATAATTCTCAGCCGAATTATTCCAACTTTTCGAAAAAGGTCACAGTAGTAAGCTTGATTTATTTCTACAGATATCTGAACATTTCCAGGGTTCATGAAAAAATTGTAAGGCAGAAATTTCAACAGTCACTTACAGAGACCGTCTTGGATGATATTGTGGGGACTAGGGGAGTTTGGAATGTATGACAGTGAAGATAGTGTATAATTCCCAGCCAAACTAATCCAACTTCCGGAAGAAAATCACAGTAGCGTAAGCTTCATTTTCTCCACAGATATCTGGCTACTGATCCAGGAGCGCTTGTCAACCTCCTAAACATTTCCAGGGTTTATAGAAGATTCTACATACAGAATATTTATCAATTGCTGACATTTCACCTTTCTGAAATGATTTAATTCCTACAAACATCATCGACCGTTCTGAATAGTAAAATTGTTCTCAAAGTTTCTCTTATCAATATCAGTTGATTATCCATTAATAGTTCTTCACTCCGATAGAGATATGATACTCGCTTGACACTGGAGGTTCACATTTGAACTATACGCGGAGGGTGAGGCAGAATACTTCCTAGCCAAATCAATCCAAATTTTCAGCCGTTCACTTCTCTGCAGTTTCTGGAAGGATTTTCTTCAAAGCATAGATCGTTCTGAATGAGAATACCGATCTTAAAACTGGTTGCAAAGTATCTCTAGTACTACTCTAGTAAGTTGCTGTTCTCACATATGGGGTTCAGAACCAAAACATACGCTGATGCTCTTAGATTCCATCCAGAAAAGAGCCATTCGCCTGGTGGGTGACGCCACACTCACTCACTCTTTGACATCATTAGAACACCGTAGAAAGGTCGGCGACCTTTCACTTTTCTATCGATACTTCCACGGGAAATGTTCTTCGGAAATCTCTGCTATCATCCCTTCACTAGCAATACCAATCAGACGAACTAGACAAGCCCAGTCAGCACATCCTTTCGTTGTCAACCTCGAAAGATGTCGAACAGCACTTTATCAAGACTCCTTCATCCATAGAACGGCTAGGCTCTGGAATTCATTGCCTGTGGAAGTATTCCCAACAACATATTATAATCTCCAAAAGTTCAAAAAAAATTCCAATACCTACCTCCTGTCCCTATCCTCCCTAGGAACGCACGATGTTCTTTGAACATTATAGGGATTCCCTCTCGTGCGCTCCAAGCGATAAAAAAAAAAGTTTCAGTTGCTCTCTTCCACTACTGGTTCTTTGAACTCCCCTCATGGCAGGATGTTTTGGTGATTCCACACCTACATTGAATAACTATTCTTCTTATTCTTTCAGATGTGAACACCAACGCAATAACATTCACTCAGCCCGAATCCTACTTGAGAAGAAACTATCTGACCAACGACACGAGTGACGAGAAAACGATACTATCGAGAATATTCCGTGAAAGGATTCTGGTGAACCTGCGCACATATGAAGAACACGCGCTCATTTTCTATGCAAATGACAATTTGAACAACTTCGTTCATTTGTACATCGAAAACGGTACCCAGGTCTGTATATGCTTTGGGCTATTTGGAAATGAAAAATACCTCAATAATTTTTGTAGGTGATTTTCCTGTTCAACTACGATAACGAGATACACAACATTACTGTGGATTACCCACAATTGAACAGCAGCGAATCAGTACAGATAGCGATAGAAAGAAGCGAGAATACGACAATGATGCACGTTAACGACCGAAATTCGACTATACCTCTGGGAGTTAAACTCCTCCAAGAATACTCCAACAAACCATGGGTCAACCCTGCGATGGGTATGTTACCCCAATCTGAATTATTCCCCTTCAAAATTTCCTGGTCTGGCAAGTTTCAAAAGCCAAACAGACGAATTGAATTGGGTTTGAAACAAAAATTGAATATTTACATCATGCATGGCTATCAGGGCAATTTTACTACAAACGTTATCGCAAATCAAAAAGAATGATAACATGATCTCGCTGGTATGTTCGGAATAATCAAATTGCCAGGGATCTGAAACTCCGTTCAATCGTATCCATCGTTAGAGAACGAAACATCAAGACTTTCGAAAAAACTGAGGTTAATGAAAATCAGCTTCTTCAATATGCAGTTGATTGTGACCCAGGTGATCAATCAAAGTTCAAAAGACCGAGATTGTCCATGAATTGGAGATTATCAATATTATGACCAAATTCACTATTCTCAACTTTTTGATTTAAGATATCATCTCAGAATGTATTTCTGAGACTTATTTTGGGCAGAAAGGCTGTTCGCAACAAACGGCAATGGCGTTCTTATTTTTATATTTTGTTCCATGTTAGGTATGAGGATAGTAGAGACTCTTCCCCGGTCTGAATCAAATGAAAGAGATATCTAATATATATCTCTCGTCAATATAAATACATCTGCAAGAGAAGGTTACGAACTTTTGAGTAGTGTACTGTGCTGTAACAGCAGGTTCGTAGTGTATAGCTGAAAGGTGGCCAGAAAATAACTCACACCCAGTCTAGCAAATTTATTGTTCTTCTTCAGTTGGTTATGGCAGTAAACCGATTTGAGAAGATTGGCAAGTCACATTCAACATAAAGTTTGAATCTAAAAGAGTTATAGACAAATATATAGCATTGAACTTCAATCACATGCAACATTAGTAACCAACAAGAAGCTATTTCAACATTTCAACTCACCTAGAAGAGTGACCAAACACAAAATTACATTGGTTTAGCAAACCAATATAAGTTTTGATGTTATTTGAGAGTTCATTCTAAAGATACAAAACTTTCGTGATTGTCGTCTCAGAATCCCAGGAACAAATGCCTACCAAAATGTCCGGAATTCGAGAAAAGTTACCTGGTCCTTGAAGAAGACCTCGAGTCTCTCTGTCACTCGAGGAGCAAAAGGAGGGATGGGGCCCCATTTGGGCACCTTTCTAGACCTTACCCTTACCTTCAAACTTCAAGCAATGAATTAATTTAATCGAATAAATGCAACCAACAACGCTCAGCCTGTTATTGTTTGGTGCCTAGATTTGAATCACCATCAACTCCCAACCTTCAAACACATGCCCACAGGTGAAACCACTGAGTGATTGAACATCCATTCTATCAACTTCGGATTGAACTAATGAAATATATTCTGATATATAATTAATAAAGACTATACAATATGCATTTGTAGTATTTGTACACATTAAAATAAATATCAATTACATAGACAAGCATGACAACTTTTATTAATTATTGCGAATATTGCGATACTGGTAGCAAGTGCATATGGTTTCAGTACATCACTTATGATCGTTATCAGGATGCCTCAACCTTGTATTGTGTATTGTGTGGAATGAGCACGTGAAGGTTAGTAGTGCACCTATACCAATCTTAGCTCAACTGACCCCCATCTCACCCATGCATTATTATTAACTGAAATACCTGCCTTACTCAACGTAGTTTGGACGTTTCAACGCCGTTCAGGCATCTAACAGTTTTCCACCAGCTTTCCACCCGCTTTGTACATGCTGACGTTTCCTTGACGTATCCGTCCTTATCCTCCTTAGCCCCACCAATTAGCCCCGCCAGCAGCCCAGCTAATCAGCATCGCCAGCAACCACGCCAATCAGCCCCGTCACGGACACGTCACGGAATCTTCAGCGGGTGGAGAGCCTGAACGGCGTCGAAACGTCCGTACTACGTTGGGTTAGGCAGCTATTTCAGTTAAGAATAATGCATGGGTGAGATAGGGATCGGTTGAGCTGAGACTGGTATAGGTGCACTACTAACTTTCATGTGCTCATTCCACACAATACACAACACAAGGTTGAGGCATCCTGATAACGATCATTTAATGAGGGTTTATGAACAAATTTCGTTCCTGCGAATAAAGAAAGATTGACAGATGACATCATCTCCACGATGATATCTAACCTTACCAGTGCCACCTGCTTCTAGATTTCCAGAGCACCTGCACCTTTGATGAATTTCTTGTTTTTCCTATAGAGGTACTAGCTCCACAAAGACCACCAGCTCCACCTACGGAATATTTCCAGTTGAATTTGGGTGGATTCGATCCGGAAACTTTGCTGAAGGTATCCGGGAACCGGCCAGTTCTTCCTGGATATGTGGGATGCCTCAGGGGCCTTCAAATCGGTGACAATCCGATCGATTTGCCTTCCAGGGTCAACGATACAGATTCTGGTATGATAGAAGTACAGTAAATTTTTTGTGAAAATCTGTTAAGTCTATAAATCGCGTCTTCTTGTAGGTTGGAAATTAACCGTCAAAAAGATAGAAACTTGTGCGGGGTTGGGAAGATTTCAACCAATATCAATAATAGGTGGTTCCAGATTCCAGCCGTCTGAGTAACTAGTTGAGGAAAGATTTTTGCTTATTTTCACTACAGAGAAGACATCAAATTCTAAAAATCTCTGTCGCTGCCAAATTGTCAATTCAAGAGACGATTTCTCGGATATAACTTCTTATTCATTTCAGCGTTAATAGCTCATAACAATATAATGAGAAAACTTTCATAACATAATAATAATAATTTACCCATAATAACATAATTCTCAGAAACTCATGACATATAATAAATTATGAACTTATTAGTTATTGTAAGGTTTGTACCTATAGGTACGACATAACAAAATGAAAAATAGGAATTATTTCGAGTTGGACGTGGCGGCACCTCAAAATAGTTCTCCGGCTTTCGTGTGTTTGATCGAACTGGGGAACATGAATCATGTTCATTCATCAAGATCTGTCATATATCTTACTTGCTCTTAATCATTCACGGGTTGCTGAGATATGCGAGATATGACATAAATATTGTTCATCGAATCGTTACATATAGAAGTATTAAGGAAGGATGGTACTTCGCAACATTGCCAGGATGCCAGGTCTACCGTTTTTGTGCTAGATATCTACCGTTTTTATAGTTTTTATACCGCTCTACCGCAGAGTCTGATTTTGATTTATTTCATTCAAGTTCCAATATGTTCAATTAAAACACACACTTCCTGCGCTATTTGGAATGGTGTCAATTGATTTTGGTGTGTTTGGTGTGACTAATCTCAACACGCCTTTTGTCCTCGAGCTGACCTAGCTATAACAGTTCAACACTGCTGAATGGCAAGGTATCAGAGAGAGACAGCTACAGTTCGGGACTAATAATATTTCAAAACGCTATAGATTCGATTCCATTATACTTCATGTGTGGATTTAGGCAGCATCAATTTACAATTATCAACTAACAATTATCCATTAAAAATTATCATGTAAGAAGTATAGCTCAAATGTTACCATTACCAAGATAGTAGTCTTCCCCAATGATTCATTCGGTGAATACCCTAGGAAACGTCGGTAATCGGTGAACCACACAAGTTTACTGATTGTTTGTCTGAGTTATCTTCTTTGTTTCATGATTTCAAGGTAGTTCATACAAGAATAATATGATTATTCATTTTTTCTTTTCACTTCTGTTAATTACCCACCTAATTACGTAATTGGTAAACCACTAGTACTTGGCAAAAACTGCAATCTCCAAACTATTTCTACCGTTTTATTGTATGTCAAGTCTACCGCTTATCTCATTCTTCACCTACTAACACTGGTGGAGACGTACACGATAACTCGATAACCGATCGAATCAGTCTCTCTTGCTATGTTGCCATTCACATGCCCTATGTGTAACGATTTTTGTTATCGGTCTAGACGCTAGAGAGTTGTTATATCAGTGATAAAATTACAAAAAAAATGTGTCAGCATTCTCTCGTATTCAAGGAGTGATCGCCAACTGCAACATGAAATGCGACGAGGTGCCCTGCCAGCACGAGGGCACGTGCATCGAGGACTTCCGCAACCAGCGGCACACGTGCAATTGCGAGCACACCAGCTACTATGGCGAGTTCTGCTCGGAGGAAAAGGGGGCCGAGTTCAACGGCGAATCCATCTTGTGGCGGGAGTACGTGCTGAATGGGTCCGTGGACCATGTCAAGTTCCAGCTGGCTTTCTCGAGTGTCGACGTTAGTCAGAAGAATACGATTTTGTTGCTGCTGCAGACTGAAAACAGGTACATCCGTTACGAATACTACTGGTACTGGTGGGGGACGTTGGCACGTCAGCAACTAGTCCCTAATGGGACCGTTTTGCAAGCCCCAAGGTGTGTCTGATGAGTGATGTGGTTTGCTTAAGAGAGCTGGCTAACATCCTTTTCAGGCACCGTCCATCAGCTCTCTTTCACAGTTTTTTCGGCTGTGTTTTGTAGGCTAGTAATGTACTCACTACCACATTATCACGCTGCAGTGGCAGGCCTGCTAGCTATTCTCGTAAACCCCCGTTAGAGACCGAGGTCCACTGAGCAGCATTGGCCCGCTCTCACGTTCAGCTGGTAGTTTGGAGGACTATCCCCAGTTGATGCCCCGAAACTTTACGATATTCAATTCGTAAATAAAATATTGAAAAAAGTTCCTTGCTCGTGCTGGGAATCGAACCCACGACCTCGTAGTCGTGAGACATCCTTTGAATTGACCTTCACGCTGATAACATCCCTCACTTTTATCTATCAGTCGCGAGCATCGAAGTGCGAGCTATTCAAGTTTTAGTGTCTCTTCGAATTATCCTTATCCCTCGTAATCCTTCGATATTTTCAAGAAGTATATCGATAAAATACGCTTTCCTGATTTCCTCTCCATTTTCCACTGTCATATTTCTATGTCCTTCTTAATAACTTCACAGCAATTCCACAACATTCATGTTGAAACAATCCACCATTCACATGAAGAAATCTTGATAACGTTAAATCTACGGCAATCGCCCTTTTCATGGAAATGTGGATAGCGCAAATATTTTAAATTCTAAAATACTTGAATACTTCAATAATGAAATACAGGAATATATCATATTGTGTGATCCCTAAAATAGGTACTACCACGACAACATTCGCATAGGTTCCTCTTTTGAGGTTGATGTTATGGATCAGAACCTTATTGGTTCCCGTTATTCTGGGTATGTTCAGTAATTTTTTTGTTCTGAAATTTGTTCTATCCGTCATTCGGTTGCCCCCTTACGAGCAACCCTCAAAAGTCTTCGAAAGTCTTGTGCGAGCAAGGAATGACGGGGGCCTTACCTTTTAACATGTGATCCCAAACACTTTCTTGGGCCATCAGAAAAATGTCTGCAGTCGACGGGGATCGAACCCACGACCGGCAAGCGAATGCGAATTAGAATATAGACACTCTGTCCGCACGGCTACCTGGCCAAATCAACTTGGTTCTTTCCGTAAATATGAAATGTTCGGTTGGTTCCTGAAAAGAGGGTATTTACGGAACTCGGTTGCTGAAATAGCGGTAGATTCACTGTCACCAGAACGACCGTGGATTTTATCTGGTAAGTTCGGTGAGTTTGAGTTGACACAAATCAGTATTCCCATTTTAATCACTGCGTTGAGTTCCGATGGATTGGTTTACTGAGGTAAATCAATAATATTCGATATATTTTCAGTTTGATGACTTTTTTTTATTTCAGGACACAACATCCTTTGCTTGTACCTACTGTGAACACGGATTAGGGACTTTCACGTGCCATAATTGAAAAACAAATATTGTCAGAGCATGGCTGGTTAAAGAACGATCAATACTCAATCAATACTATAATTTGACAAATGACTGGCATTCCGTAAATAAACCACAACCGTAGTCACCAGTACATAACTACTATCAAAATTGTTGGTACCGGCCCTGAAAGCATCGTTAACTTTGGTTGATTAACATATCCTCTGTTTCCTCGCATGCTAAGGCAAACATAAAATCTTTCTCAGTTTCAGATGAACTAATTTTCTCTTGTGTTGAAATTCGTTTGTACCAATAGGCAAACTACAATGTTTCTAACTACACGGCTGCCGGCGAAGACATACTGAATGTGCCGATTCAGTGCGCGGTATAAGCTGACGTGCCGACCGTTCCGAGCCGATCCGACCGAGCCAAGTCAATTCAGTGCGCGTCCATCTTCACTCAAAATCTCTAAAACTCAAATCCTTGAATGTTGAAAAGAAAAAATCCCTAAGAATTTTGAATTACTAAATCACCGAAATATCCAAATTACAAAGTCCAACCAATATATTATAACACACTAAAATGCTCCTTTAATGCATTCGAAATGTTCCCATTCCGTTTGCAGTCGCAGCTACTATCTGTTGGTCGGCCTCAGCCTCGAGGGTCACCTCACCGTCCAAGAGGACAGAGAGGGCGCCGTTTTCTCCGCCACCGTCAACAAAAAGAACTTCCTGAACGGCGCCAGGCACTCGGTGCACTATCAACGCCATCTTGACCACTCCGAGCTGTTCGTGGACAGGGAGGTGACCTTGATGGATCGGATACCGGCGCAAACGTTCACAAACGTGCCGGAGGTGGGGGCCAATGAGGTGCATATCGGTGGACACGACACTAACGATCCGCGGTTTGCTACTTACAAGAGATACAGCGGCTGTTTGTCCAGTGAGTATCTGTTTATAATAGTGTTGTTGATATTTTTTGTCGGAGGAGGTCGGAATCCTTTATGGACACCACGAAGGTCCACTCCCTATTTATGGTTGTGTGAGAGTCTCCCCTCTTCCAAGGCTCGTCTGACCGAAGTCTCCTATGACACTTAGGTCTGTTTGCCTATTGTTTCCCTAGAATATGCCGTTGTCGATTTCACCATATACGATCCATTGTTCTTATTCAAAGGTCACTTCAAATATAACATCACAGTACCAGAAGTTCTTTCGAAAGGCTCTTCTCGTTCAGGTTTTCGTTCTCCTACGAGTTATGATGGATGTGGTGTTCTCTGCACAAGGCTGAGGTTGTTTACTCTGAGATATCAGTCCATGTCATCCAGAGACACCGTTTACGACACAATATTACATTGGTGCCATTAATCCACGATCCTTCGATAAGCAGTTTTCTAAATAAATATAACCATGATCTCTGATTGCCAGCATGGTTTCAAAAATCACTTCTCTACCAATACGGCAGTAACAGCCTTTTATGATATCATCTCTAATTTCGTGGAGCATAGCGAATGCCCTGTTGGCATCTTCTGTGATCTCAGCAGGGCATTCGACTGTGTGAATCACGGAAAGTTGTTGAATAAATGATTTGATATTGGTGTACGAGGAACCCCACTTGATTGGATTTTTGTCTGAGCATAAGCAGTATGTTTGCATCAATTATAGAAATGAGAGAGGAAATTAAAATGTCTCGCCATCACTTGCGGACGTCAACATGGGGGTGCCACAAGGATCTATATTGGGCCCTATGTTGTTCATCATATATATTAATGACCCAATACCAATTTTATATCATATGCTGATGATGAATCTCTTATAATATAAGATAAAAGTGATGACAATATTGATGAATGTCTCAACTGGAGATCTCAATGATCAAATCTTGTTTCAAAATTATCTTCTCTTACATATCTATTGAGAAATATAAGATTCTTATTGAATAAACAACAGCTTTTGCACTTTTACTTTGCTCAGGTAGACTCTCAACTGAGATATTCAGTTTGTTCGTGGGGTAATTCAGTAGCAGTGACCGACGTGTTGGTAGCACAAAAGAGGATATTACGATGTATGTTTAATATGCCCAGGAGAACTTCTTGTAGACCGATTTTCAAGGAATTCAAAATCGTAACTGTCACTGGTATCTATATATTTGAAATGTGTATGTTTGTTTTAAGGAATAAGGAGAAGCTTAATTCAAATAGTGACCTTCATAATTATCATAATAGGCAGAAAAATAATTATTATGTACCCTTTGCAAAACTCAAAATCAGAGAAAATGCACCAAACTTTATAGCACTAAAGCTTTTCAATAGACTACGCAATAATCGTAATATCGTGAAGATTAATGTTTCAAAAGCCAACTCAATGAATTCTTGACATTATCATGTTACTACTCCCTTAAAGATTATTTAACTTAAGGATGCAATAATATTTCACTGTTTTGTTCTCTTGACTATTCCAGTATTCCTATATGGTAACTATCGAAAGGAAAATAAAGTTTATTATTATTACTATTATAGGTTGCCAGAGCCTCGTTTATCGATTCACGGCCAAATAAGCAGATGTTCACAAATTACCCCATCTTTGTAAACAGTTGTCAACAAAACTGTCCCATCCGAGTGATTCCAGAAAATGTTCCATCTGTCGAGCAGTCGTGGCTTCTCCTTCCCACACCAGGATGAAATAAATTGTCTTCTGTGGGAGAAGAGAACACAAGAATTTGCCAAGAGAGACCGATAAGAGAGTGAAAACTGAACCTTGACAATGAGATAGAATTTTTGCCGCTTTCAAATAATGCAACGTTTCGAATATTTCAGATATATTCATCGAGGTCAACGAGCATGTGATGAAACCACTCGAAGAATACATGCTGTTCACGAAAACTGGCACCGAAAAAGTGAACGTCTCGAACCAACATGGGGTCAGGAGTGCTCAGTGCAGCTCTGATTTCGACAAGATTCACGAAAAGGCACCAGTCACCACAAATCTGAATATCAGTCAAGTGAGTTAATAGATTAACTGTGAATACATCAAGCCAATATTATTATCTTTGTTCTATCGAAAATATGGTGGGTTATTTTTTATCGTCCGAAGACATTTTGAAAATTTGATTTTCTCCATTCCATTCCATATATAACAGGGTGTTATCTTATATGACACATACATTTTCAACGGGGTCTAGAACTCATCAACATAGACAAAATCACCGAAAATTGCCCATATGAAAGTTGCAAAGTAACGAAGTTCAAAAACCCTTCGGCGATAGAATGGGAGCCTTTTTACGGTCCTGCTATATTTACCATTTTGGGTAGTTCCGGCCATGTGACATGTCCTCTTCTTCGTGTCTTCAAACACCCTGTGTCACGACATCTTATTTGTACCAAATTAACGAACATACGCGGTGTTGGATGATGTCTTAACGAAAATCTCTCCGTGTAGAAACGAAATGATGTTGCTGCACTTTGACGACACTCACCATAAATCAAAAGCATGTGAATAAGTTCAATATTTTTGCATGCTACATTTTTCGACACTGCACAAAAAAATTGATAAGGAAGATCCGATGACTAGCGCTAGGCAAACGACATTCTAGTGTGTAGTGTCACAGAACACAGATTCGTGCGGCCAGGACCGTAATGAAATTCCTTCAGATTGAATGAACTGTTCAACTGATAATATATCCATTATTATATGCAAATTTTATTGAGTCAATTGTAAAGCCCCTACTTTTCTCTGGTTGGCCTACAAAAGGGATCATGCACAAGGTTACTAAAAATTCATAGGGTTCGTGATATTTGGGTAGTAGGAAGTATGGTTGTGTATAGACATATCATATAGATCCCTATTAAGCAATCATCATATAAACAAGCAGAGTTGACTAAAGGTGCTCACATATTTTCTGACATATTGTCGATGTTGTACACTCACTATTATACTGGGTGAATTTCAGAAGATAATACATGCAGTTTCATAAAACTTGATATTGATAAACGCATGAACACGAAATGTTCACTACATTGATTTACTACTCTCTTTTGAGACACTGACTGACACTGCATGACGACGTGTAACTAGATATTATTTCCGAGGCTTCATGACTAACTTCAGAAATCGCCCCAGTCAGACTGTGTCTACTGCTCCAGAGTTCGGAGCTTTTATAGTGAATCGTTCTGAGAAAAAGGGTGGGAAAAATAGCCATTCATTGACATTGATATTTATGGGACACATGTTTATGAAAATGTTTTATTTTGATTCCAACAATATACGTCCTCGAATTTTGAATCACCCCTTTGAAAAAGATAGTTCACGTTCGAAAACACCCTGTATATAGAAAACATCTTTTCAGGGAACTGACAAAACTTGGGTTCAAGACGCCCCTCAACGAGTTTTGTACTCTTCCATCTATTCCGACACTGCAGAGGAAGAAGACGAAACCGAAAAGTTGGTCATCATCGTGCTCGCATCATTTTTCGTGCTGGTTCTAGTTTGCTGCACCTATCACCTGTTCATCACCAACAAAAAGTATAAGGAGAGGAAAGAATTCGAAACGGATGCCAGCATTCTCTTATCAAAACAGCAAGCAGCACTACTTCAAGAAACCAACAAAGTAGTAAGACTATATTTCATTTATTTCCCAGTTATTTTTCCATATTGAACTAGTACAGTATAGTAATGGACCTTATGCAGTCGTCCTAGTTCTCCGGAGAGGTACTAATAGTTTATCAGGAAAACTATGATATCTTCAAGGAATCTGATGGGACCCTCCATATCCAAACCTGTGAACTCCAGTAAATTTTGATCAAGATGAAAATCGCCCAATCAGATAACTTTTTATTGATCTGATGACACCAAAACCAATCCCTGTGGGATATCCACGCATTCCTACACGCTTAGGACCAAAGATTGTTGATTGTTGTTAACTTTGAAAATCACACACCTCATGAGGTGGCGGTCATTATGTCAACTAAATGTCAAATCACCAAGTTTGTTGAGCTCTTTGTGTTCTGTGGCATAGCATGTTAGAGCATTGTCTGCTAAATGAGAGAAAAACTCAAGTTGCCTGGTAATATCCAGAAACCTTGATTTTTTTCTCCTATTTAGCCGACAATGGTTAGAGTATAAATTGAATTGGAGTCTTCAATCATATCTCTGCGTTTTCAGTAGGCCGTGTTGGTATGTATTTATCGATGCGCCTCGGCATATAGGTATACATATTTGCTGGTATAGAGACAGTTGCTATATTCGTCGGTGTTTAATGCACGTTGGTTGTGATGGAATGGGAACTTAAACATGGGTATTATCGAGTGAAATAAAAGACCTGGAAGAACTACATGATAACGTGTGATATATGGAAGGTAAATATCGTATCTGAAGAAAAATACTACTTTTTCTAAACAATCTAACCTAACTCGGCCCAATTGAACCTCCATCCTAAAAAATGTATTCGTCGAAAAATTACTTGAGAGATCGGAATAAAATACTTTCTCTGGACAATCCATCCTAACTTGGTCTAAATGAACCTTCTCCGTAGAAAATATATTCGGTAAATCACTTGGGACAACATCATCCGAAAAAAAAAAAGTAGTACCTCGGAAGGACTGAACCCTAGGGCCCAGGCGTAGCAAGCTGACGCTTGGCTCACTGTACCAAGAGCTCACTTGATAATGTATGTTTGGAAAAATAAATGATTATCGACGATGCCCCTCGATGGATGGCAAACGTACCAATATCTCGGGGCGCCTCGATGAATATACGCGGCCTTTTTGGAACTCCATGCCCTACGTTCGATGACGTCAGGCTGTGATCACGTCACAACATTCTAACTGTTGGTATATCGGATCGGAGGGTCCCATAATAGTAGATTTTGTCCAATTCAAGTAACCTATGTGCTTATTCAATTCCTTTTATCATTTTAGTCCCCTGAGGATACCAAACCTATAAACCAAAATGGAAAAATACCCATAGAAAAAACGAACGGTAACAGTATCAACGGCAAAAATGGCAAAGCAAGGGACAGCTCAAAAACTGAAGGGACTACAACTGAAGAACTCATTCCCGTACCGGAAGAAGTCAAGTCTCTGAAAAGAGCAGACAGTTCGAGGGACAAGCAAAAACGTATTATAAGTTTTCGAGGTAAATGTGATTCTAAAGGATATATACTTACCAAAATAGCTAAGAAAAATTCATTTCCAACTCCACCGGCTTTATAAATACAGAACCTGATGGGTATTTTCCGTCATATTTTGTCATTATCTTCCATTATTATAGTAACTAATTTTTGAGGAGAAAATCTACCGGTTCTTCGAAAAATAAGCTTCGAATTCAATAATCTTCTACTGAACTTGTTTTTTGATATTGAAGAAAGAGACCATCCCTGGGAAACTCCATTAGAAGGGTCTGATCTTTTGAGACCCATGCCAGAAGTAACTGAAGCAGAAGAGGAGGAGGAAGAAGACGATTCAGATGATTCGCAGCGAAAAATTGTAAGTAATTCGCAGTCAACACTATAAAATATCGATTTCATAAGCTTTATTCATATTTGGTGCTTTGCAAGTTCTGCTTTTCTCATTATTTTTCATGCATTGACGCCACAAGGGGCACTAGGCCTCACTTCGACTTGGGAATTTCTGACGCAGGTACTGAAAAGTGAGGTTATTTGATATTGTCAATATTTTAAACACGCTTTCCATCAAAATATGATGAGAGTTAGTAAAGAAGATAAGTTCTTGGGAATATTTTTCACCAAATTAACGGACATTCACGGCGTTGCATGATTTTCTAACGAAAAATTTACCGCCTAGAAACGAAATGCTTGATGCTGCACTTTGATGACACTCATCATAAATCAAATGCATGTCAACAAGTTCATTATTTCGTTAACGTGTGGCATTGTTTGACAATTCTCAGAAAACGACTGAAAAAGTGTATCCGGCACTAGAAAAACAAAATTCCACCATAAACGGTAGTATAGGGAGAAGTTTTCTCTTGAAGTTCAGTGATAGTAAGATTTATTTCATTTCACTTTATTGAAAGATACCTCCTTATTCTGCCCCGTTGGAAGAATCTGTGATTTCTTTAACTAACTGTCATTATGCTTATATAACATGAAATGATTCCTTTGCTTCAAATCGTCAATAATTTAGTGAACCCCGGAAAAACTTGTATAATACTTTAATGCTTTTGCTTGTTCATTTGTCAAACATCATCAATCACTTCTAATTATTTTCGACACTTCAACAGGCCATACCTGTACCTCTAACACCTTCTGCCCGTAGACTGAGAAGCTCTCTGTCTAGTATGGGCAGAAGAGACTCATCTTCAATCATCGAAGAATTGGGCGCCACCACGTAATCAACAATAATCATTGTGTCCGTTCGTAGAGCTTTGGGATTATTACATACATTAGAGTAGAAAAGCCGGCTGCAAATTTCGAGCTTCATCTGATTACGAATCGAAATGATATATATGTCCCAAATGCATGCGAAAACATTGTAACTAACCTGAGCAAAATGATTGAAAAATTGCACTCTCCGGTGCGGTAATTTGCACTTAAGATGATTTTTATGCCATCCGATACAATTTTGAATGATGGATCTCAAAAACCTATCTGTGCTACCCCTTGATCTGAATCAAATCTATGGCACAGCAACTTATTTGCTGCAATTATTCCGGGTATACTTCCATCACTTCGAGCATTCCTTCCTTCATCAAGTGATAACGAATTGAAAAAATTGCAAATTAAAGGGGGAAATGTCCCCTCTGCGGATATCCAAACATGGCGCAGAGCGTCAATATTTCCGAGAATATTTCGCTTCTATCGAAAGATAATATCCGATGGACCAGTGTGAAACTCCTGTGGTGCTTGCACTACAAGTATTCAAATTCACATGTTGAGATCAATACTAGTTGATCAGATTATTAGCTTCCGAGAGGGACGAAATATTCTCGTAAAAATATTGACGCTCTGCCACTAACTAAGATCAGTTTGAATCGCGGTACGTTTGGATATTCGCAAAGGGGACATTATCCCTTGCTTTTCGGTTCAACTCGTTATCACATGACAGAAGTATGTCCGGAATTATGACAGCAAATGATTCGCTGTACCGTGTATTTGACTCAGACTTACACGGGGTGTCACACGTAGGTTTTTGAGATCTATCATTCGATTGGTATCAGATGACAAAATGCCTTCGGGGCATGTATATCATTTCGTTATCAGATAACGGACGAAATTCGCAGCCGGCTCTTCGACTAGTACGTAATATATTGACATATTGTGAAGCATGGTAATTCAAAATTTGTTTTATGATAAAGACATAATGACTGATCGAGCAGCAACAAAGTTAAAATATATTGCGTAATAGACGATTAAGAGAGGTTATAAGTGTTAAAAATTCATGCTATGTGGGTTTGTAACTGGTGGCTGATGATGGTGTAATGAAATATAATATTTTGTGTAGTGTGTTGTTTTAATGTCATAAAATGTTCCCAAATGATTCCTGTGATGATAATTCAAGATCCATAGACACGAAAACTTCTTGAATGAAAGTTGACGATGATGGATCTATGATTTATACATTTATATCTAGATACTGAAAAATAAATCATCTACTTTTCCTTTTGAAGCTGTCACCTCCTAACGGTACCCTACCAAATCGAATCCTACAGGATGAACTCATAGGTGAGTTTTAAAAATAACAGTACTGAAATATATTCACTATACCGATTCTTTCCGGAATATTAAACGGTGGTTCAAGAGTAAAGAAAGAAAAAATTATGGTATATATAATAATGAAATAATGCCTGTGTATGTTGATCGAGAATATCAATTTCCCTAGATTTTCTAGTGATTTTCTCCTCGTTTCTGAAGATAAAAAATGAGTATTATTTCAAAAAGTACGAATGGGTGAAAAACAACCCGTTTTTCGTTGATTTTCCATCGATGTCAATTTGCTTATGACAATATTACGTTATATGAATATGTTTTAATAACATAAATTGAACGTGATTATCTAACGATTCGTTTATAAATTTGTTGAAAGTACTTTTATTTCTCAACGAACTGAACTATTGAATAAAAAAAACGTTATTTCCCGCGACATTTTCACCGATTTTTTTTCGACTCATATAGGTGCCTATTGGGAAATAGTACTCATATTACCATTTGAAGAAACAAGGAGAGAAAATCCAGAAAAATCTAGGGAAATAAATTTGGTGTAATGAAAAATTCATAGTTCAAATTGTATTTCTTTTGCTAGACTTGTCTATTGATTTCAAAGAGAAGGTTAAAGCTTTGGAAGGTTTTGACCTTCCAAGTCCCATAGTTGAAATGAACGAGGAAGAAGAGGAGAACGCTGATTCAGAAGAATCGATGCAAAACACCGGCAAAGTTGATGGTGTTTCAGCGATACCGAACAATCAACCCGACGTGAATATTGAAAGTTCTGTTAAAGCTGCGAATAGAATTGGTGGCAACATTGCATCGAACCTGAAACCGTCAGTGTTTTTGAATGAACATCAAAGGACGTTTGCCAATCCCGTTAGTTATTTGGGTGGGCCGCATTTGAGGGCACGGAATAGGTGGTCTGTTGAAAGTGTTGTTTCTTTGGATTAAATTTCCTAAAATCTTTCGTCCTACATGAATAATTGAAGCGAATTTTTGCTACAAACTCTCGAAAATAAAAATAAATAAGTTCGAATTCGAAAATAATCTGAAACATGACTGTATATATTTGTGTGTTCTTTCAAAAAATAGTAGACATTATATTTAACCTACTCACTACCACGTATACGTTGAATTTTTTATATATAGAGGTACATGAAATTTTATACGTGAAAGTTAGTTGCATAATTTCAAATGATGAATAATACAGGATGTCCCAGTTGAACACAACTTATTACCAATTGATAACAAAGTTTCTCCATTTGATCCGATAGACCTCAAAAAGTTCGCTGAGAAAATAACAAATTGCAAGATTCATAGAAAACCGCACATATATATAATATGTCGTCGTGATGTTTTCTTTTCATAGGGTATACAGATATTCAAGGCCTTTATCACTAGATAGTCGTTCACGGAAAAAATGTACGTATACTGTTTGCGTCGCGTATATTGAAAGTAGGCCGGTATTCATAACGAATTAGGTAATATCGCACAAATTCTAGTGATCGCTTCGAATATTACCCATACATTTTTTTCTCATGGAAGCTGCCCTCCAAACAGAGATGGCAACTGAAAAAAATGTTCTTCCTTTCTTGCACTCTGTGTGTTTATGCCCACATCAGAATCTGAAAATGAAAATTTCTACTACTGCATATATTATTATACTAAAATGAATCGTTCTACTGATTATTGATTGAATTTCATATGCGAAACGTAATTATTAATTCTCTTGGATATACGATAAGGGCTACAAAATCCGAAATATCCCTAGTGTGTATATTGAACCTACAACCTTGATAGGGCTACCTGTGGTGTGTCCGACCTCAATCAAACACATGAAGTGTAAACTAGTCATTATCATAGGGAAATGCATGTGTATATCTTGTTGTTAGAATAAATCTGATAAAATATGAATAAGTCGTCTTGTTTTTCATTTATCTCCAAAAAGTCCACCTGGGATTGGTTCTAAGAAGAAAAATCGTAGAATCATCAAGCAATCCAAGCTCACTAATGAAAAAAAAAACAGAAGTACCCACCACCCAGAAGGGTGGTGAAAGCCGTCAAAAGGGTGATGTTTAGTCTGATCACATTCCATTTTTGGTTGTGCTTACTGCTTATTGGTCACATCTGAGATGTTTATTATGTTCAAGTTATTTCCGTCAGGTGGGGCGACGTGATATTTCTAGGGCGAATATTTGTCATTAGTATACACCGGTAGTGTGCACTGATTCTCTCAGTGGAAACTGCTTTAACACTCGAAAAGCGTCTAGAGACAGGGTGCAATAAATATCGATCGCGGTGGGGGAACGATACTCTTCTCTATTTTGCATCCTCTACAGCAGTACAAAACGTTAAAATTAACGTACAAATTGACAGCTACGCATGCGCTTTTCTCGTTTTTTCGTTCGCGTTGCTAGTGGGCTTACGGAAGTACGTTATCTTGCGTACTTTCACGTACACCTCAAATATCAACTATTATCAACGAATGTTACTCGAAATATGCCATCGAGTCAATATTATTGAAGCCCAGAGAGTTCTTATTCTTTTATTATCGATCAATTTGTTTATTAGTAGTGTTCTATTTTAATTATATGCTCTACAAGGCTATTTCACTCTATAGACCTTGGTATATAACCCGTCAGACAGTCTAGAGATTTAGCCGTCATTGCCTTGGTCAACCTTGATTTCTACTGCGAACACTTGTCAATAGTGTGCACGACTCTTGTGTGCCCGGGTAGTGTACACCGATTCTCTCAGTGGAAACTGCTTTGACAGTTGAAAAACGAAATATGTCAATACGTCATATTATATTTTGTCGTCATTCGTCATCATTAGTCATCATTATTTATTGTTTTTGTGGAGCGTGTTTACATAAGCAGGAATAAATATAACACTATTTCTGTAAAAAAATATTGAAGGTGCATACTACTAGGCAGTAGTATCATACCAGTTTTTTCCTGTTATGATAATGGTTACAGTCTTCTGCGATGGTATGTATTTACCAAATAAAACAAATACAAACTCTCCACTGTTTTCTGTTTTGATGCTGTCAGAATTCCTTGACCTATATGAAAACATAAATAATTGCTCATATCATTATTACAGGCCGAAATATCACGAGAAGATGCAAATTTACTAAACTGTTTGGAGAACCTGGAATTAGATATGAATGTTGATAAAAAATCCACCAAAATGACAAAGGAGCAAAATCCTTTCATGAGAAGGCGGTCAAAATCCTTGTCATCCATCAACTTTGGTACAAAATGTGACTGCACAGAAAAACCCCAGAATATCAAACACACAACTTCATTCAAAAGGCCCAATAAGAAGATACTCCGCGATCCAGTGTTGAAGTTTCTCAAATGTACACATAAGAGTAGTGATAAAATTAGTCCAAAAATATTGAACAAATGCAAGAAGAAGAGAGAAAAACAGTTTGGGGAATGTTCCAGTCATGGTGAACAGAACTTCAGATCTATCACAGATGCTTGTGAACATCTGACTATAGCTACCAGCTCAGCTAGCACCAGCTCTGTCAACTACTCTGCTCCCAGCTTTTTGAGTGTCCGTTCCCAGACAAATGTCAGAGTTGACTCTGGGAATTCCAACCTGGGAAGCTGCTCCCACCAAGCCAGGATGAATGGGAACCCTCCCTGTGATGTGACCATTGATGAACTAGCAAGTTATTTTGAGACATTTGTACATATTCCCAAAAAGATGAGTTCTATGGCTGAAATGATGTACATCTGAGTGTACACATTTTTATCTTTTCATTTAATTTATGCTGTATGGTCAGTTTGGTGTTTTATTGTAATTGTTGGAACAGATATGTGATTTCCATAATAACAAAATAATATGGTAAGGTGGGTTGAAAAGGAGCTCATTCTGCAATTTTCACTCTCAGGTTTGATGTTATCAATGATCTGACATAAAACTGTTCCCAATGGATAACTGGATCACACTTTTTGATATGTGCTCCATCTTATTAAATCAGAAAAAGTAAAAAATCTAATCTATGGAAAAATATTCTGACAAGACTGAAGTTATAACATTAAGTTAAAGTGAAATTTCATGGAAGATCTCTGCAAAGTTTTTCTATTGGATTTTTTCAAGTGTTTATTATTTGAAAGGACCCTGATAAATTTTCAACACACAACAAATTATTGAGATAGCTTGTCCTCTTCCTGGAACTAGCAGCCAAAATTCTTTTGAATCAGCCAAATTTTGCTATTTAAATGACCTATATAAGTGTAAAAGATCACTTACATTCAAGCAAGATTTTGAAAACAAAATTCAAGTGACAGTAATTTTTCATTTGAATTGTAACTCTGAAATTGAGAGATTTGTAATTTTTGCAAGAGCATATGAAATGATTATCCCACCTTATCTAAATAAATATAATTCACATGACAAAAAATGAGTCTTTATGGATTAGAAAACAATAATTTTTGATAATCACATCATTGTTCCAGGCAAACAATAACTTGCAGTGTATAATATTTGGCATTTATTAGCATCTCATTTACCACCTTTCAGAATATTTCAGAGTTATATTAAGTTAATTGTAGATTTTCTCAGATTTTGATGAATAAATCTCCCATAATATGTGATGACATTGAGATTTAAACAACTAACTCTACCAAAACCCCTGTCCATAGAAAAGCAAATCTCCAGAATACTCCACTTGGGGTAGTTTGGAAGGAAGTTAACTACAGAATTTTTTCCCTATCCACTCGGTACATGGGATTCTGGATTAATCAAAATATTACATAACTAGCTGACTCGGCAAACGTTGTTTTGCTATAACATTATTTCTAGAAAAAATGTTTTCACAAATATTATTCATCAAAGAACTTTCATTATTTTATTTATACTTCTTTTTAGTTCGGCACTCTTTCTTTTTAATTTGGCTATCTATAAAAACGTGTTTCATTAGTTTTTCAAACCACTATTTATTACAATAGCTGATGACTTGGCGCACGTCGTTTTGCCATTTCTACTTTTTTTCTACTTCTATTCAGTTTGGCCTCGATTTTGGCTATCTATAAAAGCGTGTTTCATTATAGTTTTTCAAATTACTATTTATTATAAAGCTCTTTCACTATATTGGATCCGCCATCTTGAATTTCCCAATTTTAAAGAATAAAATCATAATCGCCGACCCCGAAAACCCCCAGATACAGATTTTGAATAGAATCGGATCATAATTGCAAAACTCGTCCGCCATATTGGATCCTCCATCTTTAATTTTCTAATTTTGAAGTCATCAACTCATTGGTCTAGGTATATTCGATGCTACGTATACATGCTTGAATGTTAAAAATAATATCGGAATCAATGAGTATCCGAAACTTATTGCATTTCTCAAGAACCAATCTATTGGATATAAAGCGAAAAAAATCCAAAACATTCACCGCTGAAGACAAATACCAACAACTTTCTACAAGAAGTTACCGATGAAGAATATCTGTTAAAAAAGGTAAATTATACTTTATATTTGAACTCTTTCTTATCATCAGAAAGACAGTGTATCGTTATTTTGCAATGAGTTATGTTCAATTTGATTGCAGATTATATATTATTGTATTGTCAGAGGTAGGACTGGGAAAAAATATCGATATATCGATTAATATATCGATATATCGAATAACGATATTCAAGTTTTTAAATATCGATATATCGATAAATATCGATATATCGATATACAGTGTGTCCAAGATAAGGTTGCTCAGTAATGTCTTAGAAGCAACTGTGAGAAGAGGATATCTTTATTTAGAGAATAATGGTCATCATTTTGAACAATTGTTATGAATGTTTCTGTTGGTATTGCCAAAATTAAGTTATTGAAGTAATTCGTGTAAGAATTCATAATCAATTTGAAGCGCTGCATTGAATAATATGGTGAAATATTTTTTTTTCCACTTTTCGGTATTGAATAACTTTATAGTAGGGCTGGGAAAAAATATCGATATATCGATAAATATATCGATATATCGAATAACGATATTTAAGTTTTTAAATATCGATAAATCGATAAATATCGATATATCGATAAATATCGACAAATATCGATATATCGATAAATATCGATAAGTATCGATATATCGATAAATATCGATAAATCGATAAATATCGAACTTATCGATAAATTTCAACTTATCGATAACCGATAACTGAAATCCAATATCGCGCAGCCCTAGTCAGAGGTATGAAGCTCAGGTTGCCACGCTGATGGTCCGGTTTCAATTCTCGGTAGGCCCGACATTTTTTTTTGGCTCAGCAAGTTATTTTGAGTTTTTTTTTCATTTATTTGGACATATAGGATAATATGGATAAGAACTATTCCAATCTTTCATACTTTCAGGGCAAGTATTTCCAAAAGCTGCGTTTGAAGAAAAAATCTTGTGTCTATTTCGAGCACAGTGTCATTGCCGCTCTTCAAAGATTTCTTTATCGAGCGGCAATCTACCACTTTGCGCTCTAAATACACACAAGATTTTTTCTACTAACGCAGCTTTTGGAAATAACTGCCCTGAAAATCGATTGAAATAGTTGAAAAAGTTCTCATCCATATTATTCCATATGTCCAAAGGAAACAAAAATAGAGAAATTGAAATAACTGACAAGCCAGAATATTATATAGACCAATGAGTTCATGACTTCAAAGTCTTTGATTTTTTACCAAAATAAGCCAGTAAAACGTTTTCTGAATATATATTCACCATCTCGGAGTGGCACCAATTTATGAATGTATCATATTATTGTAATTCATATTTCTTCCTTGATTTCTCCGGTAAGAGATTCAAACTCTTGTGGTTTCTGCTATATCATCAGAAAGGAGGTGTGTTTGACGATTCACTGTCACTATTTTCCATCATGAAAGAATTGGGGGTTTTCAAGAAAAGATAAGTATAGGTTACAGAGATGTGCGAGCGTTTTTTCAATATTTCCGCTCACGAGCGCAAATGCTGTCAAAGAATAACATTTCTGGGAAAACGTCAACTTTGTGCTGGAATTTGAAAGCGTCAAAGGCTACTTTGTTAAGCGTTTGTAGAAAAATAGCTATTATGAAATAAAACAAGTCATATTAATACGAAAAAGTCGAAGACAATATTTATTGATATATAAAAAATTATTATGTATATTTATTTAGACAGTAACCCAACATCATAGCGAAAAATGAATCCAACTATTCTCGGATGAATTAGCTGTTACTTTTTCATGACATAGGTACTTCTTTCCAGTCACTTTTTGCATATAATTTTAGGGTAGGTAGATTTTTCACTATAATGTTGGATACATCCATTCAAATTGTGTCTCAATTTTCACATTCAAATTAATTAGTACCTACAGGAATAAATAGTACTTTATTTTATTTCAAAAGAATATCAAGTAATTACCAGGAGTATGAATGAAGAATCCACTTAATAATCAGTTGAACATACAAGGTGATTCAGTAGCAAAAATTGAATGACTTGTAGACAAAGTTAAATTATGAAGATGGTTCTAATTATTGGTTTAATGAATTTTGAATAGTTGTATTCAATTTTTTATCAGATCAAATTGCTAAATTATGATAGGAACCACAGTTTTAGAGAAAAAATCATAACACCCTATATCTTGGTAGAAAGACCGAGAAAAATGAATACGAATTTCATTCATAATTCAGCTTTGCCAAACAAGCACTTCGATTTTGTTATATCCTTTGGAGCGCACGATAGGGAATCCCTATAATGTTCATTGGTACCTATCACTGAATCACCTTGTATAACAATGATTCGAAATGTACATTCTCTGTTACCACTCTAATCATAACAAAATAATATTGACTACTTGAATAATACTTGCTGAAACAAAATGGACTTGAGAATTTGGTCAACACTGAACTATTTGAAAACTCATCAATGCTGAGCCTATAAAACCATTCATAACATATTTAATAAATATATGTGTACATTCTAAAAAATAAAAATGCATGTACTGCATTTCATCACAGAACTACACAAAATGGATGATATTACCGGAACAAAAAACTATTTCCAAAGACGCTACACTTTTGTTGAAAATAACTGAATGTACACAAAGAACATACGAGTAGACTTAAATATTACGAATACAAATTTGCGAACACTCGTTACTAGTTCATAGCAGGAGCGCTAATTTTCTTCGATTCGTCTGTAGACTTTCTGACACCACCTGTATTGAAAAATAAAACAATGTAAACTGCACTAGGCCGATTAATTGATGATTATCTCTTTGGAGAAGGTATTTTTTTAGTTTCCCTCATTTAATTCCTCCAGTAATTTTTATCCGCAGTTAATTCTTGCGGTAATTTCTTCCGCGGAATCTTTCTTTCACTGTATTTTTTAAGTTTCCCTCATTTAATTCAAGTGCCTTTCATTTTAGAATAATTTTTCATATTTTGCTGTGTGTAATTTTCCTCCAGTAATTTTTCTCCGCAGTTAATTCTTGTGGTGATTTCTTCCGCGGAATCTTTCTGTCACGGTATTTTTTTTAGTTACCCTCTCATTTAATACAAGTGTCTTTCATTTTAGAATAATTTTTCATATTTTGCTGTGAGTAATTTTCCTCCAGTAATTTTTCTCCGCAGTTAATTCTTGAGGTAATTTCTTTCGCGGAATCTTTCTTTCACTGTATTTTTTAAGTTTCCCTCATTTAATTCAAGTGCCTTTCATTTTAGAATAATTGTTCATATTTTGCTGTGTGTAATTTTCCTCCAGTAATTTTTCTCCGCAGTTAATTCTGTGGTGATTTCTTCCGCGGAATCTTTCTGTCACGGTATTTTTTTTAGTTTCCCTCTCATTTAATTCAAGTGTCTTTCATTTTAGAATGATTTTTCATATTTTGCTGTGTGTAATTTTCCTCTAGTAATTTTTCTCCGCAGTTAATTCTGTGGTAATTTCTTCCGCGGAATCTTTCTGTCACGGTATTTTTTTTAGTTAACCTCTCATTTAATTCAAGTGTCTTTCATTTTAGAATGATTTTTCATATTTTGCTGTGTGTAATTTTCCTCCAGTAATTTTTCTCCGCAGTTAATTCTTGTGGTGATTTCTTCCGCGGAATCTTTCTGTCACGGTATTTTTTTTTAGTTACGCTCTCATTCAATTCAAGTGTCTTTCATTTTAGAATAATTTTTCATATTTTGCTGTGTGTAGTTTTCCTCCAGTAATTTTACTCCGCAGTTAATTCTTGAGGTAATTTCTTTCGCGGAATCTTTCTTTCACTGTATTTTTTAAGTTTCCCTCATTCAATTCAAGTGCCTTTCATTTTAGAATAATTTTTCAAATTTTGCTGTGTGTAATTTTCCTCCAGTAATTTTTCTCCGCAGTTAATTCTTGTGGTGATTTCTTCCGCGGAATCTTGCTGTCACGGTATTTTTTTTAGTTACCCTCTCATTTAATTCAGGTGTCTTTCATTTTAGAATAATTTTTCATATTTTGCTGTGTGTAATTTTCCTCCAGTAATTTTTCTCCGCAATTAATTCTTGAGGTAATTCCTTTCGCGGAATCTTTCTTTCACTGTATTTTTTAAGTTTCCCTCATTTAATTCAAGTGCCTTTCATTTTAGAATGATTTTTCAAATTTTGCTGTGTGTAATTTTCGTCCAGTAATTTTTCTCCGCAGTTAATTCTTGTGGTGATTTCTTCCGCGGAATCTTTCTGTCACGGTATTTTTTTTAGTTACCCTCTCATTTAATTCAAGTGTTTCATTTTAGAATAATTTTTCTTATTTTGCTGTGTGTAATTTTCCTCCAGTAATTTTTCTCCGCAGTTAATTCTTGAGGTAATTTCTTTCGCGGAATCTTTCTTTCACTGTATTTTTCAAGTTTCCCTCATTTAATTCAAGTGTCATTCATTCTAGAATAATTTTTCATATTTTGCTGTGTGTAATTTTCCTCCGCAGTTAATTCTTGAGGTAATTTCTTTCGCGGAATCTTCTTGTCACGGTATTTTTTTAGTTTCCCTCATTCAATTCAAGTGTCTCATTTTAGAATAATTTTTAATTTTTTGCTGTGTAATTTTCTTCCAGTAATTTTTCTCTGCAGTTAATTTTTGCGGTATTTTCTTCCGTGGAATTTTTCATTCACGGTTATTTTTTAGTTTCCTTCATTTAATTCAAGTCTTTCATTTTAGAATAATTTTTCTTTTTTTGCTGTCATTATGTTCGCGGTTATTTTGTTTATGACTAATTTAAAATGTATATTCGGTGGTAATCATGTATTTTTGTGTGGTCTTTGTTTCCCTTGTTCTGAGTATGCGTTTTTGATAATAATAAAAATAATAATAATAATAATAATCTGATGTCAAGTAATCTTTTAGGATAATGGTTGGGTACCAAATTGTTAATAAATATTTCAATATTTTCAGGTCAAAAAAAGAATTGAATATTTCAATATGAAAGAATGACATGTTCATTCATTTGACATCCAGTGACTCACAACATGAAAAAACATATCTGATATTGACGATAGAACATAAACTTATGAAATCCAGCTGCACAGAAAAATGTATTTCATGCTGAATATCATGCAAAGTTGAAACTATCTCAATACATACCCAATTTGTGAGTGAAATGCAGTTTTCATCTACTCTCCTGTTCAACAGAAACTGAAACAAATATCAAACAATAAGTATTTATTCAAGGAAAGATGGTATCAAGAGTTTAGCTGGAGGTGTGTTACAAAAATCCATTATTTTCCCCTAAATAATACACTATTTTCTTCTGTGACGGCATTATTAAAATTTTGAAAGTATTAGTATATAGGATGAACTGAAGAATGCAATTATTCAAAAATTGTAACGTTGATAAAAAACACCCCTTATTTGTATTGCTTTGAAAATTGATATTGTAGTATTTGTGGCTAGTCCGAATCGATAGCCATTTCCAAAATTTAAAAAAAAAAACCTAGTCCATTTTATTTAATATTGCTGAAGTTTCTATGATCGCAGTAGGCTATGAAATTGTGATTGTTAATTTAGTTTTGCTCGACGAAGTAGATAATTTTGAGTAGTAAATTATGACATAAAAATTTTGAAGTCCTAAGAATACAAAAGTACATTCATGGGGTGGAGCAAATTGTAACACACTGTAGATGGAGGTGGCAGTGAGATTTATATTCTTTTTCAACACATCGCGACACAAAGTTCCTCACCTTTGTCCCCCTTCGACTCCTCCTTCACCTTCTCCTCGCCCCCCTCTTTGCCCTCGCCACCCTTGTCCAGCCGCGGCCGCTTCCTGCCCTTGTAACTCCTGTTGTCCCTTCGGCCACCCTCGCCCTCGTCCTCACTGTCCGAGAACTCGTTCTCCGGCACTATCCGCTTGTCCAGGTCCTTTTGTGGAAGTCGATCGTCCTTGAAAGAATTTTTTTAGGTCATCATCTATGAAAACGCGACAGGTACCCATACGAGGGGAGAGTATCAACTATTGGCATCTATAATCAGTGCGATTCAATCATTAGTTAACATTTATACAGATATACAGTCGACGCCCTTGTAGCTCTCGTTCTGTGGCACTATCTGCTTGTCCTTGAAAGAAATCGAAACATTTTTTTTAGGTCATCATCTATGAAAACACGACAGGTACCCTTGCGAGGGGAGAGTATCAACTCTTGGCATCTATAATCAGTACGATTCAATCATCAGGTAACATTTATACAGATATAACGTCGACGCCCTTGTTGCTCTCGTTCTCTGGCACTATCTGCTAGACCTTGAAAGAAATCGAAACATTTTTTTCAGGTCATCATCTATGGGAACACGACAGGTACCCTTGCGAGGGGAGAGTATCAACTATTGGCATCTATAATCAGAGCGATTTAATCATTAATTAACATTTATACAGATATAAAGTCGACGCTCTTGTAGCTCTCGTTCTCCGGCACTATCTGCTTGTCCTTGAGAGAAATCGAAAACTTTTTGTTGGGTCATCATCTATGAAAACACGACAGGTACCCGTACAAGGGGAGAGTATCAACTCTTGGCAGCTATTATCAGTGTGATTCAATCATAAGGTATCATTTATACAGATATAACGTCGACGCCCTAGTAGCTCTCGTTCTCCGGCATTATCTGCTTGTCCTTGAAAGTAATCGAAAACATTTTTTATAGGTCATCGTCTTTGAAAACACGACAGGTACCCTTGCGAGGGGAGAGTATCAACTCTTGGCATCTATAATCAGAGCAATTCAATCATTAATTAACATTTATACAGATATAAAGTCGACGCTCTTGTAGCTCTCGTTCTCCGGCCTATCTGCTTGTCCTTGAAAGAAATCGAAAACTTTTTGTTGGGTCATCATCTATGAAAACACGATAGGTACCCGTACCAGGAGAGAGTATCAACTCTTGGCAGCTATTATCAGTGTGATTCAATCATAAGGTATCATTTATACAGATCTAACGTCGACGCCCTTGTAGCTCTCGTTCTCCGGCACTATCTGCTCGTCCTTGAAAGTAATCGAAACAATTTTTTATAGGTCATCGTCTTTGAAAACACGACAGGTACCCTTGCGAAGGGAGAGTATCAACTCTTGGCATCTATAATCAGTACGATTCAATCATCAGGTAACATTTATACAGATATAACGTCGACGCCCTTGTAGCTCTCGTTCTCCGGCACTATCTGCTTGTCCTTGAAAGAAATAAAAAAAAAAATTTGAAAGTCATCATCTATGGAAACACGAGAGGTACCCTTACGAGGGGAGAGTCAACTCTTGGCATCTATAAATCAATTTGAAGAAATATTTGCTCACTAAACTTCAATTCCATATCCACTAATCATTCACAATTTGATTACTTGGAATGGATTTTAATATTTTTTACTTTATATTCTATTAATTTTTTAAATGAAAAACAATAATTGTAACTGATTTATTATGTTATATATGTATTGTTTATATTCTTATAATAAACAATAATTTGGGGTGATAAAGACAATCAATAATCAGTGTGATTCAATCATTAGGTAGCCCTTGTAGTTCTCGTTCTCCGGCACTATTCGCCTGTCCAGGTAATTTTGCGGCAGTCACTCGTCCTTGAAATAGATCGTTAATTTTTTTTAGCAACCATCAATTGTAACACGACGGCTGCCCTTACGAGGGGAGAGTATCGACACTTGGCATCTCTAATCTATTCGATTCAATCACTAAGTATCATTTATACATAGATATCGAATAAAAAATTGGAACATTTGTTTGCAAAGGGTAATAGTGATTATTTTTAGATATCCACTTCCATCTTCTCAATGCTTAAAAAGGGATAGATAGACGAAGTGTCGTTCAAGTTTCTATGAAAAACACGACAGGTACCCTTAGGAGGGGAGAGCATCGACTCATAGCATCTATAATCAGTTCGATTCAATCAATAGATATTATTTATACATAGATAAAACTTCGCCTTCTGCGGGAATCTTTCGTCCTTGAATCGATAAAAAAATATTTGAACATTTTTTTCACAATGTGAAGTAGTGATAGTTATACCGAATACATAAAATAGAGCCAGATCGCCAACTTTTCAACGGTGTTCCAACAGTTTCAGGGTATGTTTGGGTGCTGCACTCCAAATATGGGATCAGTATTCCAGAACATGTCGGATCTGTGCCTTATAGATCATAAGCAGCTGACTGGAAGTGAAATAGCTCCTGGCCCGAAACAGTGTCGAATCACAAAGAAGACCAAAACAATCATACCTTGTCGACTTTGTCCTCATTGTCAGAATCCTCGTTGATGGCATCTTCAGGAATAGCGAGCACCTGTACCCCGGGAGCATGCGGCAGCATCCGCAAATTCTCGAACAGCCGCGTCTTGATCTTCTCCAAGTACTCGGGAGTGTTCTGATTGGCCATGTTGCTTGGGCTGATGTGCAACTTGAAGTCGGGGCCGAAGTACTCGAAGTAGTCGTTGTAGGGCAGCTCGTTGGCTATTTCCACGCCCAATGCCACCGAGGTCTCGTACGTCCACGCTCTCGAGACGTTCCTGTGTGATAATTATAATGATAATTCTCAATAAAACACATACATTAATAACAATTCAACAAAGAAACATCCAGATGTCAAATGAACAATTATCCCCACTATTAGCGATTCCATTCATTTGCCAGTGTTTGGCATTTAGGATTTTTGGCTTATACTTCTAAATGATTTTTATGAATGAATCAACACACCTGATCGTGTAACCGTCACCGCCTACCATCATGAACGACAAATTATACTTCTTGTTGAATTCTACGCACTTTCAATTTTCTGGCGATGATTCCGTAGAGTTATCCCCACCATTCGCGATAACATCTGTCTTTGGCGTTCAGGATTGTCGATTGTTGGCGTATACTTTCAAATGATATTTATCAATGAATCAACAAACCTGATAGTATAACCGCCACCGCCTACCATCATAAACGGCAAGTTGTACTTTTTGACGAATTCCACGCACTTGCCGTGCCCTTTGACGGTGAGGTTGAAGCATCCCAATCGGTCGCCGGTCAACGAGTCGGCTCCGCATTGCAGCACGACCGCGCTGGGCTGGAACGTTTCCATGACTTTGCTGATTATCGGCACGAATATGCTCTCATAGGCGTCATCGTCCATGCCATCGCGCAAAGGAATGTTGACCGCGTAATATTTGCCCTTGCCTGAAAGGAATAATAATAATGATTATTACATTCGCAGCTATATTGATTGATTGTCTTTATTACCCCAAGAAACATAGTTGTTTATAATAGGGATACATGACTTGGTAATGTGTTGTATTGAACGATTCCTGTGTGAAAAATGGATTGTTTGTCGATATTTGACTTATACGTATTTGCTATTAGTAAGTTTGATTGTCTTGTTCCATGATTATGTAATGAATTAATTTCATTGAAATTTAAATTCGAAATTTTCAATTTATATATGACAAATTGAATAAAACAACATATTTCAAGTTTGTATAGTGATGTCAGATCTAATAAATCGCTGGGTTTGTATAAATTCATGATTGGTTCGAGAAAATTTGAATTGAAAATACACTTCAATGTTTTATTTTGTGATTTCATTAGTGGAGTCAAACGTGAAATATTGGTACTTCTCCATATAGATATTAGGTATTGAAATTTTGAGTAAATAAGAGAAATAAATACTCTTCAAGTATCTAGTAGAAATGATATTTCGTATTTTGAATAAAATGCCTGTAATGGGATTAATTTTGTTTCTCAAATGATCTATATGTTTATTCCACAATAGTAGTTCATCAATATAAAGACCTAAAAATTTTGTAACATATTTGATGAGTTCATTGTTGAAGGATAGTATCCTATTCGAAATGTTTAGTGTTCTTTTTGCTATGTACATGTATGAGGATTTGTTATAATTGAGAGATAGTTTATGAACTTGTAACCAAGAGGATATTTTCTCTAAATCACATTTAATGTCCATGATAATATTATTTGAATCTTTGGAGAAATAAATCAATGTCGTGTCATCTGCAAGTAATTCAAGTTTTCCTCTCAATTCCAAGCTTGATATTGAATTTATGTAGATTGAAAATGAAACTGGTCCCAAGACTGACCCTTGCGGTACACCGCATGAGATGTTCATTAAGGAGCTACAAGTACCACTCACATCAACATATTGTTTTCTATTTGATAGATAATTTTGGAACCAATCATGAATTCTTCCTCGAAGACTTGGCACGATAATACACTACACTGTTTTGCCACTAACCAACCAACCTAGTATCTACTTTCTATCAACAAAAACAATCGTCGTGAAAGAAATAATCACTATTTATAGAGTATTTGAAATAATGGAAGAACATTTAAAAATTAGGCTAAATAAAGAAAACAGAAAATAGAGAATAATTGTGATAATAATTTACATTTCACCATTTCATTAATAATTTCATGTTTGTCATTGAGTTTGTCAGCCTAATATACATCTAATATACATATAATATTCTCTTACTTCGTGTATTCTCTTATTCTTAAAGGTGTGTGTGAAAAACTACCTATTTCTCTCATGAACAATAACATTCCTAGGTTATACTTCTAAACCAGTTTGACTTACCTGCTTATCTATGCCTGCTTTCATTATCTTCTTATTCTTATATAATATATGACAATTATTACTGGGATGAATAAAAACTATTCCTTTCATGAACATAAACAATAACATTCTTAGGATATATTTCAATACTGACAGGACGCAACAAATAATTCAAGCTAGCCAAGTCTACAGAACAATTCCAGCCGTGGGTTAAATGCTTCAAAATTCATTGAAAATGAACACAATGGGAGTACGCAGAATTAGTTTGACTCGCGAAATGTGCCTTTTTCTCAAATCGGTGAAAAAATAATCTAATAAAGATTATTCTTTCGTCAAAATTGGGTAATTCAAGATGGGGCGGATCCAATATGGCTTACGAGACTATTATTATCATTCGATTCTATTCAAAATTGGCATCTGGGGGTTTTCTGAGTTGGAGATTATGATTCTTTCGTCAAAATTTGGAAATTCAAGATGACGAATCCAAATATGACGACGAGTTTTGTAATTATGATCCGATTCCATTCAAATTGGTATCTGGGTTTTTTTTGGGGTCGGAGATCATGATTCTTCCGTCAAAATTTCAAGATGGCAGATCCAATATGACGGACGCGTTTTGTAACTATGATCCGTTTCTATTCAAAATTGGTATCTGGGAGTTTTCGAGGTCGGAGAATATGATTCTTTCGTCGAAATTAGGGAATTCAAGATGGGGCGGATCCAATATGGCTTACGAGACTTTTCTTATCATTTGATTCTATTCAAAATTGGCATCTGGGGGTATTCAGAGTTGAAGATTATGATTCTTTTGTCAAAATGTGAAAATTCAGGATGAGGAATCCAAATATGACCACGAGTTCTGTTATTATGATCCGATTCCATTCAAAATTGGTATCTAGGGGTTTTCGAGGTCGGAGAGTATAACTCTTTCGTCAATAATCAAGATGACGGATCCAAAATGGCGGACGTTTTATAATTATTATCCGATTCTATTCAGAATTGGGGGTCGGAGATTGAGATTCCTTTGACAAAATTAGGAAATAAAAGATGGCTGATCCAATATACGGACGAATTTTGGAATTATGATCCGATTCTATTCAAAATTTGTATTTGGCGGTTTGCGGAGACAATTTGGCGAACGAGCTTTGTAATAAATAGTTGATTGAAAAACTATAATGAAACATGCTGTCATAGATAGCCAATCTCGATGCCAAACTAAATTGACATAGAAAATAGAGATTATAGTTTGAAAAACTGAAGAGATAGATTGTTGAACAAAAAAGAAGTAGAACATAAATAGTAGTTCCAAAAACTTAAGGAACACGTTTCTATGGATAGCCAAACTGAAAAGAAGTAGATAACAAAATAATAAAAGTGTGCTGATAAATATTCACCAACAAAAATATTTTCTAGAAATAAATTTATATGGCAAAACAACTTTTGCTGGGTATGTCATTGTAATAAATGGTAGTTTGAAAAACTAATAAACCACTCTTCTATGGATAGCCATCAAACTAAAAAGCAGAAAATGAATAGAATAGTTTGAAAACCTAAAGAAACATGGAAACATGCTTTTATGAATAGCCAAGCTAAAAAGATGTGAAAAATAAAATAATAAAAGGATGTTGATAAATATTCAGCTAAAACATATTTTCTATAAATGATGTTTAAATATCAAAACAATGTTTGCTGGGGTCAGCTAGTAATATAATAATTTATGGATGTGTAGCAGTGTCTATATCCATTTTTAAGTAGACAAAAATTATGCTCTTCTTCCCTACTGTTTCCATGATACTTGAAATTTTTTCCTGAATTTTTTTATTTATTTATTCATTTTTATTTGAGGAAGAACATAATTATAAAATAATAAGTAATAAATATCTATGAACTACTACACAAACATAAGGGGAAGTGAACATGAATAAAAAATCATAATAAATCCGGATATCACAATAAAACAAAGCAATCAATGAAAAAAGAAAATAATTCTAGTCAAGGACATAACTTACTAATAAATTTCAAACATTTCTCTCAGAAATGATAAGTTTTTTTGCTTTCATTTTGCAGTTTTCAATTTCATCTGGTAGTTCATTGAACTCAGATAAGGCTGCATGAGTGAATCTTTATTGTCCGAGTGTAGAACTAGCAGCATCAAGGTGAAATAAGTTATATTGTCTAATTTGATGACTATATGAATTTAAAAATTTCTTGTCAATATAATATTAGATTTCACTTTTTAATTTATGATATTTCTCTAATCTGTACAGTTCTTCTAAAGAATATGTTTTTGTTGAAGCATACAGTTCAGTTGTTGGTGTATCATATGGAAGACAATATACTTTTAATGATTTCCTATAGTTGATATTTTATCAAATTATTTTTAGATCAAGATCCCCAAACATTTATTAATTAGTTGATTCCACTTAGTATATGTGAATAGAGTAGTATATTTGCTATTTTCATATTGGGTTTGGGACATCTTCTCAATGCACCAATAATAGGAGATATTTTCTTTGTCAGAACCTCAATATGTTTGTCCCACTTCAATTTTTCATCAACCCAAATACCTAAATACCTTTTGGCTTGAAAAAAGTGATTAATAGAAACTTCTTCTTCTTCTAAAACTTGAGTATCACAAATAATAATTAGGTAGGCAAAATAAAAACATGAATTGACATTGATCAAAATAATACCTGCTCCAATATCTCTCAAGTCTCCAGTACCAGGAAAATATTCCCCATATTTATGGAAGGAGACAGTCATAACACGGTCAGTGGTGTAGAAAGCTTCCTCAACACCATCTCCATGATGGACATCAATATCGATGTATAGAACACGTTGGTGGTACTTGAGCAGTTCTAAAATACCGAGAACTATGTCATTGACATAGCAAAATCCGGACGCTTCTGATTTCTTGGCATGATGTAGGCCTCCTCCCCAATTGATGCAGATCTCTGAGGCCTGTTTATTCAGTTTGACTGCAGCAGCTACTGAACCGCCGGCAGAGAGTTGACAAAATTCGTAGAGGCCATCGAAGACAGGGCAATCTTCTCCTACATTGAACCTCTGCATCTGTTTGTTGTATTCTGACATATTGTCTGGACGAATGGAGCGTAAAAATCTGATGTAGTCATCAGAGTGGAATTTGGTCATTTCTTCCGCGGTAGCTTTGTGAGGACGCTACACAACGATAAAAAAAATAAGATCAAATAATGGTTTCAAAGGAATCAACCCCTATATACTCACATAGATTTCCATTTTTCGGTAAAGTCCATAATTTAGGAGCAAATTATGGGTCATGCGTATCCTATGTGGTTTCATGGGATGTCCTTGTCCATAGTAGTAATTGCCAATATCGCCTATATTTCAGAAAAAAACAAAAATTGGATTCAACAAAAAATCATTCAATATCAAGGTCCCATGACAGACTTAACTTTTATGAGTCGAGCTACCGTAGAATCAAGCATCATTTTACATCACTGGGGAATCGACCAATGGCGAAGCAAGAAAAGTACGGTGGCCACTAGTCTATCGTGAGACATTGCTGTTATGCATTCGAATATCGTACAGTGAGTTTCACGCCAGAAAGGGTAAAATAATTTTGTTGAATTGAACAGCAGCTGATGCGATGTACAAATTTTCACATGGAATCACAAGTACGATATCAATAAAAAAAAATTGATAAGAATTTTACTCACTGTCATAGTAGTAGCAAACCCTCTTTCTGCTATGTGGTTGAGTGGCCATTTTTAATTTCACTGGATTTAAACAACGAACTGTTTGATTTTCGAAAAATAAATTATTGATTTCATAAATAAAAAGCGCACTTTTTTTATATTTACGCTGTGCCAAAACAATGGATTCCGCACGACCATCCCGCTTGGAAATGACAATGACATAGAACTGTAAGATAAGAACTTATACATGTATCAACACTGTCAAAGTGTCATATGTCGACAAATCAACATAAAACACAACCTGGAGCGAATGTGCACATGCGCTCAAATCAGTGTTACAATGAACCTACCAAATGAAAATGCTTTTTCTCGAGTTCAGTTTCATAGACTATGTCTATGTTCAGTTTGTTGGTAGCGCTGATAACATTTGAATTTCAATTCTACCAACCTACCTACCAATAAAATATGATGAGATTGTATGTAGTTTATTGTTTTCTTTTTGAATAATCATTTTATTATTGAATAATTTTAATAATTGGTTTCACCATTTTCAACTTTATTTATAACATTTTGTGTTTTAATCTTAGGACCTGTAAAAGTGACTTGAGTGATCGATTAACGTGGTAAGATTATCAGTTTTGATTTTTCGCATGATCTGGTGATGGGTGATCATAATTATTTCTTTCTTCTATTATACAGGCATAGGTACGGGGAAAAGGGTATCTATTAGGAATCAAATAATCGTGTGAAACTGATAAATACAAATATATCATAAGATGTCATCAGAAAATTCCTTCAAGAAACTGCCTGAGACAATTATACCAAAACATTATCACATTAGTCTCATTCCAAACTTGATTAACTTAAATTTTTTCGGAGAAATCTCTGTTGACATAGAGGTAAGATAATTTCAAAATACCTATAAGTACCTGCTTTGTGTACCAAGATACTATTTATAGAATTTTCCTTTGAATTGTAGATAATAGAACCTACTAATGATATCAAATTCAATGCATTAAATTTGGAGATAAATTCAGTAACTTTAATGAATGTAAGGGATTCAACAGAATTACAGCCATTAAAAATAGTCATTCTCCCAGAAGATGAGACTGCAAACCTGAACTTTTCCCCATCAATCAATGCTGGAAGCTATGTTTTGAAGATGTCTTTCAAAGGTCTCCTTGAAGATAATATGAAGGGTTTTTACAGGTGAACACATTGAAAAATCTTGTACAGCTTTCTCATTGAGAGAACTGATAATCTAGACTGGACAACTGAACAATTTTTAAAATATTTGCAGAAGCAAACATGAAGATGAATCTGGCATAGTGACATATTCAGCAGTCACACAATTTGCTCCAACAGATGCTAGACGTTGTTTTCCTTGCTGGGATGAGCCAGCAATAAAAGCTACTTTTGATATAAACCTCACAGTACCCAAAGATCTTGTTGCTCTATCTAATATGCCTGTGGTTGGCTCTGTAGATGTTGATGGTTTAATCAGGTGAAGACGAATAATAATGATCCAACAATGATAGTCACACTCTAGGTCACACTTTTATACTAAAAAAGCTAGCAAAGCCACTCATGAATTTAACATGAGACACATCTCACAATTTTTGTCTCATTTTAGAAAAATGTATTACCCCATTCTGATATTGTTTGCTCCTCTCTATCATAGAAATTTCTGTGGCTTGCTAGCTTTGGCAGAACTCAGCAGTTATTTTTTTTAAACAATATTTTTTGAAGATTTGATATAATGAAATTTCAGGGCTTATTTTGGGCAAATATATTACCCTATTCCCATATTTCTTATTCATCTCCTTCATAAAAGAAATCTGTGTCTTTGCTAGCTTCCCACAAACTCAGCAGAGCCATTTTTGAAAACATAAAATTGTCACTGATTTGATATATTGGGATTGAATGGCTAATTTTAGGCTAATTAATTACACATATATTGGCAAACATTTTTCTCAAAGCTTTCAAACAACGATTTTTTTAAATATATCTTATCCACCAGCATTATGCATTTCTATCAAAAGCAAATTTCATGATGGTTTTATGAGGCAAAGCAATAGTATTGATTGTAAGCTCAATAACTATCCCATTTTGGAATTTTTTGCTTCATATTTTTTAAAAAACTCTGTCGCTTTACTAGCTTCCGGCGAATTTTGTGAGGCAAACCAATAGTATTGATTATACAGGGTGTGTCACAACAAGCTTACACTCTCTTTATATCGAGAATCAGTTGGGAAAAATCCATGAAAATTGGCATGCTTATACTTTAGAACATGCTCTCTTCAGTTGAAATATTTTCGACAAGTCGGTGTTGCCGCTTCTACTATGAAGTCTATCGAAAATGATTAGAGAACCCTGTCTAAGAACAATCTCTTTTGGTGAAAGATATTAGGCTTTCAGTACAATTTATATGTTCCCTACCTCGCAAAGATCATGCTGGAGTAGTAAACTCTAAAACTAGAGGATTGTTCATCTATATCTTGGTATAGTTGAATCAGGAATTCCATATGGAAATTACGTTTGATACGCCAGTGACCTCAATATAACCTAAAAAACAACGAATATAAAAAATCTAGTATTTATCCCCGGAATTGAATAAGGATGGAACTATATAACTGTTTCACAAACACTTTAGAGTGAGAGAAGACGAGGATCTGTCGGTACCCTGTTAAGATGACATTAACGTCAAATTCCATCAAGGGACCCTGAGTATGGGGATCTCGGTAACCTTCAGAGATTCAGAGTAGGTTAAATTAGGGCAATGTTGCACAATTTCATGCTCAACAAAACTCTGCTTTGAAATTGGAAAAATTTCAATTGTTTCCGGAGATATCCGGGAAGAAGGAAAATATGCAAAATCGTTTTTATTTATTACTCAGTTTATTTGGAGAGATTTTTCAGAATGAATGTCACTTCATCATTGCCACTGTTTCTCCTCTACAAAATGAAATTGTCAAATTGGAAATTCGATGTTTCCTCTTCGAGCGGCCAGCATGAACTTAATTTGTTTAGAATACGGACCTGGATTTTTAATTTCATTTTCCGATAGTTTTAGATCTCCATGATATAATGGTGTATCAAAACATTACTTAAAACGTTAATTCCAATAAAAAAAATGTTTAAAAAAATAAAAGGTATGGAGATTCTCATCCTTTTGTCTAAGGCCGTGTTTCTGGTATTAACTTGTCTTTGTCTAAGACATTATTCAGTCCAAAGTACCTCCTAGCTCCTACATAATTGAATTGCTCTTATTCTAAATGCATTATTAGTTATATGAAACCAAAAATGATGGTTGAGCAAATATTGTTTATTATTTAATGAAATACAATTTATGGATCATAAAACACAATTTGATCAATATGCAAAAATACCGAACGTTTTCTTTCATTGTAAAGGCTCAAAAATATTTCCGTTTGCGTTTAAGCAGTCATTTGCTTTTTCTATTACTCTTCTCACAGACCTTTCAATAGATCGCCTTTTAGCAGAGATCGAAAAGCGGTTATAATTTGCTGCCGTAGTTCCTTCTATGGAGGCAATGGAACCGTTTTTGTAAACGGAGGTCTTTATGGCACCCAGAGAAAAAAATGAAGTGGCGGTTTAAAAAAGCAAATAAATGCTTAAACGCAAACGGAAATATATTTGAGCATTTACTATAAACGAAAACTTTTTTTCATATTGGATATTGTTTGTTTGATTTCATTGTGTTAGATAAATACAAATTAATACCAAAACGCTGTGTTAGACAAAGATGAGATGCTCCATACATTTTTAAAAAATGTTTCTCACTGAAGTGAAAATATATTATAAATTGTTTTGATACACAATATCATATCAAGTCGAGTATCAAGTAGATCGAAATGTATCGAAAAATGAAATTGAGAATCCAGGTCCGTATTTAAAAAAATGAAGTTGATGATGGCCGGTCGAAGAAGAAATGTCAGATTTTCAATTTTTTCCATTTTGTAGAGGAGGAAAAGTAGCAATGATGAAGTGATATTCTGAGTGATAAATATAAACAATTTTGAATATTTTTTTTACAGATATCTCTGGAAATAATGAGAAGAAAGAAAAATGAATTTATCAATCGATTATACAATATTAATATAAAAAATTCGATAAAACGGTCAACATTATTTATTTTATTCCTCATATTTCTTGTGGAACGTTTTGGTGGAACATTCGCGAATACCGTTTTTTCCTTCATCCTTCAAATCAGTTAAAAATATAATCTTTTCAAAAATGGATCTGCTGAGTTCGCCGGAAGCTAGCAAAGTCACAGGTTTCTTTTAATAAATATGCAGCAAAAAATTACAAAACGGGAAAGTAATTGAGCCTACAGTCAATACTAACGCTTTGTCTCATAAAATCGTCAAAAAATCTGCTCTAGATAGAAACGCATCGTGGTAAATATCGCAAATATCGACAAATCAATTCGTTTCTTTTTTTCAAAAATCGTAGAGCAAAGATTTGAAAATAGGGCAATTAATTAGTTTATAATTAGCCTTCAAATCCCAATATATCCAAACAGTAAAATATATCATCTTTTCAAAAATGGCTCTGCTGAGTTCGCCCGAAACTAGCAAAGCCACAGATTTGTCTATGATAGAGGGGAGTAAATTAATCAGGGAATGGGATAATGAATTAACTCAAAATGAGCCTAAAATTATTAGATGTGTCTCATGTTGAAATTCATGAGTGACTTTGCTAACTTCTTTAGTATCACACTTGCTTGTTTTTTTGTTACATGTTTAAGTTCTCTGAACACCCTGCAATCATTTTCAACCCGCATTTTTTCCATTCTAGATACACCTATGATACAACACCAAAAATGTCTACATATCTTGTAGCAGTTTTAGTTGGTCATTTTGATTACTGTGAGAGTAAAACAGAGAATGGTGTTTTATTGAGGGTATATACCCCAAAGGGTAAGAGTGAACAAGGGCTTTTTGCATTGGATGTAACAAAAAAAGTATTGCCTTATTATGAAACCTATTTTAAAATTCCCTATCCTTTACCCAAACTGGATTTGGTCGCTGTGGCCAGTTTGAGCTATGGAGCAATGGAAAACTGGGGCCTTATTACTTATAGGTGAGTTTTCTCTACTATCAAATGTTTATAATGTTCACATACTTAGTAATTTTCAATATTTTCATTGTAAGTATAACCATTGGATGAAGATATAATCTTCATTAAAAGAAAAATTGAATATCTGATCAAGTCTCAAATCTTGAGTTTGGTACCTAATAGTTGAACTTGATCAGCTGATGCATTTCAGTGAATGAATAAATCAATGAGAGAATATAAAATAAAAATAGAATCACTGAAAACTTGATGATGAGAATATGGAGAATAAGAAATATTTCGACATGTTGGTTTCTCGAAAATTCCATCATGGATGATGATCAAAAACATCTCAGAACGTGACTTACAGGCACAAAACATGCCATGCCAAAAATTATGAAAATCGATCTCAGCCTACTCTTTTTATGAGTAAAATTTTTTTTTCCAAAAAAACTTCAACGCCTTGTACCAACTCACGAGACGATTTTAGATATCAAATTGAATAAAGATAAGACAAAACATTTGATCTTTTCAACAAACAATAAAGTATCTGTAGGCGACCACGCCGCCAAACTTCTAGGATTAACTATTGACGATAGTTTAAGCTGGGAATCACACATTGAAAATACCTGTTCCAAGTTGAGCAAGCACAATTTTCTTCTGAGAAAACTGAAAGCGTTTGTTGATAAAAATACTCTTCTTTCCGCGTACTTTGCTCTCATCCAATCATATATCAGCTATGGATTGACCCTTTGGGGAAATTCCTCCTACTCTGGAAAAGTGTTCAAGATTCAAAAGCAATCCATTAGAATAATCTGTAGTGCGGGTTACAGAGATTCCTGTCGGCCATTATTTTGCCAACTCAATATCATGCCTTTACCAACTTTGTATATTTATCAGTCTGCTCGAGATTCATGATAATAAAAATAAACCCTTGACTAACTCAAATTACCATGATCATAACACACGCAATGCAAATTTGATCAGGTCTCGAAGATTTAAATACAACAGGTCATTCAAAAACTCAATGATTGTTGACCTTAACAATATACTTCCTGCAACACTAAAGCATGAAAATCAATCGACATTTAAAAACTCTGTCAAAGTGATATTACAGGAAAAATGCTACTACAGTATTGCTGAGTATATGGCTGACCCACCCAGGATGTGATTTGTAAAACTGAAACACATATATTTATGCTCAAATACTCAAGTTATATGTCCCAATAATTATTGTGTGTCTACTATATGTGTATGGTATGTTGTAATGTACACATATTATTTTATTTTACTATCATTGTTATTTTATTTATTTCGTGAATATTGTACAGTACTTTTTGTATCTACTTGCTACCTGATTTGCTACTAATGTTTTATACATCACGTAGTTGAATAAAGATCTATCTATCTATCTATAGGTAAGTTGGCCTGAAACAACTTGTTTTTATCCCAGGAGTCCACAGCCGAACCATGTCCCAACCTTTTACAGACACCCTGTATTTATCAGTTCTAATAACCCTACCTAACGTTTCAGTGGCGCGATGTGGTTGACAATAAATAAAGTAAGCCCTCATTATCTGACAACGATCATGCAGAATTATCCCCACAATTCGTTATTTCACTCATTCATCCGTGTTTGGCGTCTAGGATTGTTGGAATACACTTCTCAGTTTAAATCTGAGTTTTTTTCCTATCCTTGGATATTATTCACGCGGAAGAGAAGAACATTCATAAAAGATTTCGAATACGAGAAAACCGTTGAATCGTTTTTAGGGAATGCCGATTATTGGTAGATGCCGAAAACACCTCGGCGGCCTCCAAGCAAGCCACTGCCCTAACGGTCGGCCACGAATTAACCCACCAATGGTTCGGCAATCTGGTCACCATGGAATGGTGGACGGACCTTTGGTTGAATGAGGGCTACGCTTCCTTCATGCAGTTTTTGTGCATCGACAGATTCTTTCCGGAGTACGATATTTGGTCGCAGTTCCTGAACAACATGTATATTCCTGCCCTAGAGTTGGACGGGTTGTCGCATTCGCATCCTATCGAGGTGCTGGTGAATGATCCGTCAGAGATCAACGAGATATTTGACAGTATCAGTTACAATAAAGGTAGGTCGAAGGGGTCCAGATACTCATTGCAGTCGATTCATAACTCAACTCACATTCGGACCACATTACTTGCTACAGTAAGCAATATAGGAGGACTAAACGGCACTGGGACGAAATAGCGCAGGACAAAATAGCGCAGGACGAAATAGCGCGGACAAAATAGCGCAGGGACATAATAGCGCAGGATCATAATAGCGCAGGGACATAATAGCGCAGAGACAAAATAGCGCAGACACAAAATAGCGCAGACACAAAATAGCGCAGAGACAAAATAGCGCAGAGACGAAATAGCGCAGAGACAAAATAGCGCAGGGCATAGACTATTTCTTCAAATACTAGATGTTTCAAAAGGAGACTACCCTTACAAACGAAGTAACTTGATACTAGGTATGCCGTTGGATTGTTAAAGTAGACCTATGATTAGATTAGTTTGTTTGCTAGGGTATAGACTCATTTTGAAACACCTTGTATTTGAAGAATGAGTCTTTACTTCAACATACGAACAAACCTAATCATAGATCCTGCACTCCATTTTCGCGCGCAATTTTGTTCCTGCGCTATTATGACCCTGCGCTATTTTGTCTCTGCGCTATTTCGTCTCTGCGCTATTTCGTCCCTGCGCTATTTCGTCCTGCGCTCTTTTGTCCGCGCTATTTTGTCCTGCGCTATTTCGTCCCAGTGCCGCACTAAACAGTAGCAGGAGCTTTGAATTTTCATTTAATTTTGGAACGAATTTGGCAGTACAGTCGTATTCGAAAAAAAGCGTACCTGTATATCACAGTGTACTGGTACACTGGCATCAGAACATAACCATATCCTGTGATCTTTCGATTTTGTTTTATTGGTTTTTATTTTCATTCTCGAAATTATAAATGGAGTAATTAATCATAATATCTTAGAAGACATATTATTCAATAGTGATTCTGATTCATCAGAGATACCAAGCTCTAGTACCTACCTCACCTACCTCTAGTTTTATATAGTGATAATAATTTAGCGATGAATTGATGATTTGATATCAAAAGTCGGAATAACAAACAATCTTGTAGATAAGTGGCAGTTCCAGCGTCCACTGCCTCTGTGAGATCTTCCAAAGTATTTAAAAATAATAATGTATAATCTTTATCGACTCATACCTAACCATTCGAAAGTTTAACCTAACATTTCATGAATACTGGCACTACATCACCATTTCTGCACCAGTAGCCAATACTAATTTTTTAGCCGCTAACAGGGTTCCTTGCAATGAACCGCGAAAAGTTTGACAGTAAATTTCAGTAAAACCGGTACGAAAGAAATTACTGGGCAGTACTGTTCGGGAATATCGGAACATGCTCTCTGCTAAAAATCTGTGTCCAGAAATATAAAAGCAAAAATATTGTGCTGTAATTCTGAACACGTTTTCATGGTTTTCATCAGCAATCGGCAGCAGTTGATCAGCTGGTGAAATTTGAATGTCATTAAAGCGTCAATTAATAACAGGCATTTTCTGATATTAAATATGATGATATTGATTTAATATTGATGAGACAAGACTAAATGTTTGAAAACCAACGGAAATGAATAGCCCATTCCAATTTGAATGTCAGTCCAAGTGTCAAGTAATAACAGGCATTTTCTGATATTAAATATGATGATATTGATTCGATATTGATGAGACAAGACTAAATGTTTGAAAACCAACGGAAATAAATAGCCCATTCCTTCCCCATCTAAAATAATGAGAGTTCACTGAAGCCACATTACCTTTTGATTGTCAGCAATTTCAGCAGAATGTTGAGTCGAAATATTTGGAATGAATAGTATGTCTGCTCACAAGTATCTGTCACTTTCAGTGATTTTTTTTTATTTTTGAATGAAATAACTTAAAAGTAAAAAAAAACTATAAGAAGCATTCATTTAAACGCTTTAAAAAGAATAAAATAAAATGTTCCTTCATAATTTTACCTATCAACATTATTTATTTTATTCCTCATATTTCTTGTGGAACGTTTTGGTGGAACATTCGCGAATGTCGTTTTTTCCTTCATCCTTCAAATCAGTGAAAAATATATTCTTTACAAAAATGGATCTGAAATAACTTAAAAGTAAAAAAAAACTATAAGAAGCATTCATTTAGACGCTTTAAAAAGAATAAAATAAAATGTTCCTTCATAATTTTACCTATCAACTTATAACCTTATTATACACAATTCATATTATTATTATTATTATTATTATTATTAACTGACAATAAGGGCAGAGGCAAAGCCTATTATGCCCATGAGTATACAAAATTAACCTAACAATACAAGTGAGTGGTATCGTATGAACATAATAATCGAAATTGTTAATATAGACAATGAGGAACATCAGCACAGTTGGTACAGTCAGAAGCTGGAACACTGGAACGCGTCGAAACCATTTTTGAAACTGTTTATGCTTGGAGCTGTCACAACGGCCTCTGGGAGTGAATTCCATAGCCCGAATACTCTGTTGGCGAAAAAGTTTTGCCTAACGGTGGACTTGAAGTTTTCGCGTTTGAGCTTCATGCTATGGCCTCTCAGCCTGGGGTCAGTGTTCAGCTCAAAAATATGCTGCATGTCAATTGAGAATGTATCGTGCAGTATGCGGTATGTCAGAATAGCATCTCCTCTGGCTCGTCTTTCTTTGAGAAATGGAATCTTCAATCGGGTTAATCTATCTTCGTAAGATAAGTGCCTGAGTGAGGGTACCATTCGGGTGGCAAGACGTTGAGTTCTCTCTAAAAGTTGGATGTCTTTCACTAGGTGTGGGGACCATATTTGAACACCATACTCTAGTAGAGGACGTATATACGACTTGTATTGTTGACCAAATAGTTGGGGATTAGGATTGGTGAAACACTTGCGCAGTAGATAGATGCGACTATTTGCTTTGTGTACAACATCTGTTACATGACTCGACCAGGAGAGTTTTTTGTTGATGGTGATACCTAGATCTCGTTGTTCATCCACGGATGGTACTGTATTGTTGAATAAACGGATTGGATGATCTAAAATTATCCTTTCCATAATTTTGGCACATATAGGTACTAAGCTGATGGGCCTGTAATTGTTGGGATCTAGTTTATCACCTTTCTTGTAAATAGGTGTTACAGATGCCGAGAGCCAGGCAGAAGGGAGAGAGTAATGCGCAAAGGAATATTCGAAAATGTGGCTAAGTGGAAGTGACAGGGCTGTAGCATATCTCTTTAGGATATAGGGCGAAATGTTGTCTGGGCCAGGTGATGTGGTTGGTTTCAAATCCTGTAGCTTCTTTGCTACTAACATGGATGGAAAATGTATTATTTCTAGAGAAATCATCATAAAAGCTTGTTGCGCAATTTACTTTTGTGAATAAACGTACTAATTTAATTTTGTGAAATCTGCTGAGTTTGAATTTTCAAAATTCAAATTCAATTAAATATTGATCATCACACGAAATGCAAAACAAAATTATCATTGAGAAAGAGGAATTGATTGCAAAACTACGTAATGAAATTGAAAATTTTAGAACGAAACTGAGGAAATCAAGTGAATTGCATCGTGATATATCATTGAATGGCTTTTTCAATACCGTCCAAATTCAAAATGTATCAATGAAATGAGAATGCAGCAAAAGGTGGAAATTCAAAACAATCTTCATGTTTTAAACCTCATTTTAAAATTTACTTCTACTACTCTGGTACAGTTTTACATACAAGAAGGAATTAGTATATCCATATGTGTCTATTTTGTCATATTAAAACTCGTATAAAAATGTTATTACATGCATTCTTTGCATGTTTATACTGTTGTTGTGCTAAACATGTATCGCTATTTCTATTCTATTTCCATTTTCTATCTACGGCTATGATTGATTTGACAGAAAATCTAACCTCTAAAATCGCATCTAACAATCAGGCGCTACTAGGGAAATTGAAAAGACAAAGAGCAGAATATATGTCTCTTATCTAGCTAATACCATCTAGAGACTCTAAGCTAACCTAGCGAAACAGTCCGTCTTGGATCAGCGACAATCGATTCGCGAAATTATCTTCTTCTTCCTCAGCTTTATATTAATTCAAATCAACTCGAAGGGGCCTCCATTATCAGAATGTTGGTCGGTTACATTGGCAACGAGAAGTTCGAAGAAGGAATGCATCTGTATCTGAGCAGGCATCGGTACGGCAACATGCGTACAGGGAATTTGTGGGACGCTCTCGCTGAATGCAGTCGTTTGCCGGTTAGTGAGGTTATGTCGACGTGGACGAAGCAGATGGGATTCCCGCTTCTCAAAGTGACGGCCAAACAGTCAGGTAAGGCAATCCCCGATCCTCGAGCGGGAAATCGGAAATGGTAAGAGTATTTTGGTATGTGATCTAAGCAATTTTGTCGCAAACTAAAATTAGTTCAACCTCACAAAGTTCTGTACGTTTTCTTTACAAAATCCGGACCTACTATATTCGCACTGAGTAGGTACTTTTAGGTGCAGATCACTGGCATATAGTTCTACTACTTTTTAGTTGTCTATCTTAAAAACGGGAGTGAATTCTTGCTATCGGTTTATAACGTCATCAAGAGTTTTTGAAATTGTCGATTAACTATTTAAAAAAATGTATACCTGACGAATTCAAATAACGAACGATTGAATCTAATACTATTTATATTTATATGCATGGCAAGATCAACAAAGATGTCGCTTGGATAGACTATTCGCCATAGAAAATAACACAAATAACACGTCGCCTCACGTGGCGACAACAACTTGAACATTTCTGAGCGATTTGTCTTGATGATATGACGCATAAGCACAAAGAAAATTCATATGTGACCAATGAAAGTAAAGTAACATACCGCTTTGAGAACTTCCAAAAACTCCGATAGGTGGCGTAAGCTTATTTTCTATCACGAATACCTAGTGGATAGTGAGATGATGACTGGACACAAGGCGAGTTTACACTAGTACCATCGTTATTGATAATGTAGGCTGTCCCATTTTTGATGTCCTAACGGGATATCTCTCTTATTTTTGAAGATAGAGATTTGCGATTGTCGATTAGGTCCACAAATGATGGAAGTAGGATATGGTGTAATTACTGATGCGCTTTTGTTTCAGAAATTTTACTCGACCTCTCGAGAACAGCGAGAGCAATGGTTCCGTCGATCTTCTAATAGATGGCGACATTGCATAATTATGAGATCTGTCAGTTTTAAAATTGTCGCGGATTTTTGGAATTCAGAGTTGAATAATCCCACTGTTACATATGTTTCGCGTACCTAAAATGCCATTTGCCATTTTATTTCCACTCGTCACAGCAGCAATAGCATCACCATCTAGCGGAAAATTTTTTAATCAACGTCTCGCTCGTTGTGACGTAGAGAAATCATAGTAGGCGGTCGAGTGATTTTTCTGAAATTTCCTATACGTAATAATGGCCGAATACGCGCACCATATCTCATGGTCCACAGTTTTTATAGTCAATCACTAGTGCTGAATATTGGTAAATAATGAATGTTGGTAAAATTTCAACTTGTGTGTGACGAAACTCCTTGTCAGTAACAGGGTAAATATGAGAATTCATGATATTAAAAATATTGCCACACATTCACAAGGCAGATCAATAAGAAATAGACAACTTGAGAATTTTTTTGTTTCAAAACTATCTTCTTAAATCCATATCTCTTATTGTTTCCGAGATTTCAAAGTTTGAATTCGACGCTCTCTACAGGACGTTAGTCAAGTATGTGGTCAAACTTCAAGCGGGAATTTGCTGGGTGAATCTAAGACGAGAAGTTCATATTTAAAGGGTGTCAAACTAAAAACTAAACGGTTTTTCGTGAATATTGTAATGATCTTCAACCATTCTTCTTGAAACTTGTATGTGTTATTTGTAGGAGTAAGATGCTAATTTAACCGTAACTGGATTTACAAAAAATCTTTTTTTCAAGATGAAGGGTGTCATCTTGAAAACTGTGCATTTCCGGACCAGATAAAATATAAAATACATATTGATGTTCTAACAAAAAAAATATCTCCAATTATTGGTGCATTGAGAAGATGTCCCAAACTTGATATTAAAATTGCAAACATGATTCTCTACTCTCATAAACTGAGTCGTATCAACTATTTAATAAATGTTTGGGGATCTTGTTCAAAAAATAATTTCAATAAAATATCAACATTATATAGAAAATCGTTAAAAGTATTGTATCGTCTTCCATTTGATACACCAACCAATCAATTGTATGAAATAACAAATACGTATTCTTTAGAATTGAAACTCTTAAAATATCATGTATCATAAATAAAAAATTGAAGTCGAATATTATTTTGATACGGAATTCTGAAATTCAAAATCATGAAACTAGACAATATAACTTGTTTCATCTTGACGCCGCTAGCTCCATAATCGGACAAAAAAGATTCATTGATTCAGCCTTAACTGAATTCAATAAACCACCTGATGATATAAAAATTGCAGAAATATAGGTACATTCAAAAATGAAGTAAAAAAACTGATTATTTCTGAGCGAACTGGATAAAATTAATCATGCCTTTTATTTTTATATTTTTTACAAATATTATTCTTTGTTGGCCTTTTTATAGTTGTTGATGTATTTTGAATGATGCTATGTTCACCTATAGTTATATAATTATGTACTTCCTTATACCAGAGCCTATTCTGTCTGGAAGTTATTTGTTCAATGAATAAATAAATAAATAAAATGCTTGTATGCACTTTTCGTCTTGAAATGACAGACAAAATGGCCCCTCGAAGTTTGGCACATACTCGATCAACACCCTGTATATTACTTTTCTACAAAACCGCAATTTGTGTTTTCAGATGATGAAACAGGCATATCTTTGACAATTACACAACAGAAATTTGTAGCTGACGGTTCTGTATCACCTGAAGGCTACACGTGGATGGTTCCTATCACAATTTCCACCAGCTCCAATCGAACGCAAAAAATCGACGACACTCTATTGTCAACAAAATCCACCGAGATATTCGTACCGAATGTAGGTCCATCGGATTGGATTAAAATCAATCCGGGTGCCATTGGGTACTACAGAACGCAGTACACTGGTCAAATGTTGGATAATTTCGTGCCTGATATTAAAAGTGGCAGAATATCTCCTATTGATAGGTCAGTGTGTAAGAGGAAGTTTCTCCTCGAACGAATTATCATAGAATTATTATTCAATAATCTACCTAGTATTCAGTTTCTGATGTCTGAATGGGGAAGACCACTGAGCGAAGAAATCCGTGCGAACCTCTTTCAATCGACGAATCATGATTTACGTTTGATGTATAATCAACATTATGAGTTAAAGTTGAAGGGAATCGAATCTATATCGTTTTAAAATCAGCATATTTCATTCGATATTTCAAACAGCCAAATATGATGGTGGAGTCGTGACGTATTAGTCCCGAACTGTAGCTATCTCTCTCTGATACCTCGTCATTCTGCAGTGTTGAACTGTTATTGGTCAGTTCAAGGACAATAGACGTGTTGGGAATAAGACGTCGCACCAGTCACACCAATGAATTGACAAAATTTCAAATGGCGCTGGAATTATGTGTTTTTAAATGGACATATTCTAATTTATTATTTTCATCGTCTTAGCATGAATGACAAAATTCAAAATCAATTCGCTGGTAGTTTTTCAGTATAGAGTTCACGATAATGTCATTTTAAAAAATCAGTGGTCTCCCCCATTGGCTATTCAAATTATTCAAAGTATTTCAATTTTCGAAATACAGCAATTTAGAATTATTATTAATGAAGCAGACTACGACGTACTACCTAGATCTAGTGATATTTGGGGATATTTGTCTATGATAAATTTCTTGACTTATTTCCTTCACTACTACTTATAAGAAAATAATACTAGGTCGCGTGCACGATGACCGACCCTAGAGGTAAAATATTGAAACACAACCTCACTTTTCTGTAAAACATTGAAACAAACTTTATTCATTCCATGATAGTCGTTATTACAAAATATATCACTATTACAGATTATGTAATCCTGTACAGAAATTACCTAAGCATAAATGCTTGTAGTGTTTATTTCTGTACGAGGAAAAGTAATGTTATTTGCTATTTTGTTTTTTTGTTTTCGTTTTCAGTGTCAGAACTTGATAGGATTCTCAGGAGAGATGCAAACTGACATTCGAAAGAAAAATGAATTGTTTCATATAATGAATGGCGAATAATTGATAAACGAGTAAAAGGGGATTTTTTTATAAGTAGATTCTATTTTCATTGATCATTTTTTTGATTTCGTATTTGAAGGATTTGAGTTTATATATTTTTTTTATTTGAAGTGGCAATTTGTTATATAATTTTGATCCTATATAAGAGCGGCAGCGTTGGGAGTGACTTTTCCTAAATAGGAACACAACCTCAAATTTTTTATTTGTTCACATAGGAATCAAAGGATTGAAATAGTTTTCCACAATATTTTGGCATACGAATCGTATTTTTTGCGTTATTCATTAATTCATGCATGCCTTCTCATTGTGCTGTTGTACCATACATTAAAAAAGGAGCGAGAGAAGAAGGAATATGATTTTTCAGGTAAATATCAATCTCTCACATAGTTTTCAAATTTTGTCATTTCTTATTAAAATTCCTTCTGCCACTTCTGCATTAGTAGCTAATACTACTAATAGATCGAAAATGTCTACAACACACACGATCATAGGAATACCGATGAGAAATCAGAGAAATTACCAAATTTCAAAATGAAAACTATATGTGAGCGACTATAGTGGGTACTTGCTTTTAAATCATAATGTACTAATCGGATTCCTTCGTCTTTCGCTGTATTTTTTGTGCATTGTACAACAGCACAATGTGATGGCATGCGCGAATTAATGAATAGCCGAAAAACACGATTCGTATGCCAAAATAATCGTGAAAAACTATTTCAATCATTTGTCAACAAATAAGAAAAGTGAGGTTGTGTTTCAATGTTACACCTCCAGGGTCGGTCATCTGACAGTTCTTGCACGCAATCCATAAGAACGAAGCTGTCAGTATGGTCTTACCTCAAACCTTCTACAAAAATGTAAACAAAATACATCTCAATGGTGTATTCATGGTGTATTAGGTTTACCACCACTATTGCCAGACTTAAGTTATTAACTTCTTTGAAAAATTAAAATATCTCCAACCTTTCAACAGAAATTCAAATGAGAATGATCAACCTCAAAAACGAGCTGGCAGTAACATTGTTATTTTGTATATACCCATACTTTTATAATCGTCAATCATTAGGCTATTCTAATTTTCATGTCTCTTCTATAATCCCCATTTCTTCAGGTATTTGGAATAATGTAGTTCCAAGAAATAATCCAATTTCCACCAATATTATTTGTTGAATAAGTCATTTCAGGTATCATTGCTAACTATGATGTAAGAACGAAATTATCTCGAATAGGTACGGCATGAAAATGGTGGAGGAGCCGAAACTATATCTTCACGATTTCTTCATGAACTCAAATTTGATTGCACGACAAAAATAAAAAATACGTGTTCAATGAATTCTCATAAAGTATACAGAGGAATGAAAATTTGCTCATTATATATAACTTCTTATATACTGTCGGTAGGTCGTTAATCGAGGAGGTGTTACATTCATTTTACTTGATTATTTGGGATGTTCTCCTCGTTCCTCGTTTCTACAAAAATATGAGCATTATTTCAATATGTTTTGCCCCAAAATGTCACTGCGTTTAACAAATTGAAAATTCTATCAATCAAATGCATCTGATAGGCTGATGGTTCATTAACATTTCATTGATGACCTAATGACATTGAGGAACCTATATCCTTAATTCTTCGCTCAACCAGTAGGTACTGTTCCAGTGATCTTTGTAAAATGGATTATACCCTTTGATTCCCCAATGCCGTAAAAAAAGTGTAATCCTGATCCATAGGAAATCCACTATTGTATTGATTGATTGATTGATTGATTAATAGCAGAATGATCAGTCAGGGTTCGAAACCCAAAACACTGCAGCCTTTGGGCCTATTGTATTCCTGATCATGCTGTTGACTTAGGTGAACAGGTTCGCTACCTTGATAAGGTTTAGCAGCCTCTTCACCAAATCATTCTTTGGAAAGGCCTCGTGAGAATTAACTGCTCCCAGAAGGTTGTATCTCCAACGCGCTAGTGCTTCGCACTCCAGTATTACATGGGTGGCAGTTTCCTCCTCCTCATTGCATAGTCTGCATATGGGTTCGTCTGTATAGATGCCCATTTGATGCATAATATATGTTTCCTCAAGGGGCAGTGACCGGTTATTAGTCCCGTCACTTTTCTGATCTGACTTCTGTTTAGGCTCAGAATGTCGTTAGTCACTGTTTTGGACAGTGTTCCAACCATCAGTTTACTGTGTCTTTGTCCTGGGACATTGTTCCAGTATGCCTGATGTCTTTCTTGCATCCACCTTGCCAGCCAGCCGCGTATTGAGGTTTTGGGGATACCGAACACAAGTTCCGGTCCCATAAACAACGCCGCAGACCCTTGCCTGGCAAGAGCGTCAGCTGCTTCATTGCCTTCAATTCCCTTATGCCCTGGCAACCATTGAAGAGTTACCTTGTTGTGGTTAGCCAGAGTTAGCAGGCTTTGAAAGCGATCCCAGACCAGTTTTGATCTGATTGTATTGCATGTTAAAGATTGAATGGTCGCCTGACTATCTGAGCATATGAGGATTTGTTTACCTCTGTATCCTCTTACAATATTCTCTCTCAGGCATGCCTCAATAGCATGCACCTCTGCCTGGAATACTGAAGCATACCTCCCCAAGGAAGCACACATCCTGGTTCTGGGCCTATCTCCATATATCCGGGCTCCCGTGCCCTCATCAGTCTTAGAACCGTCAGTGTACTATTGTATAGTATATCCAATATCAATTGCAGAATATCCCGCACTGTGCGGCGTCGGTGTGTTTGGAGTTTCCTTTGAAGTGACTGCAGGTGATGAGATTCTGCAATTGTTTTTGGATAAACTATACCAGCACAATGCAAGTGCAACATACGTATTATATGATTGAAACAGCAATGAACGTGTACTTTTTCATCACCGAAAAATATTGCCAGCAGTATGCCATCGATCAAATCAATGGGCCATTGAATCGCTAGCTATGTCGTGTTTGCTTGGGTTATTACCATGGGTCCTTATATATTTTTTGTTTGAAGCCTCGGGATTAAATGTTGGTTCCTGATATATATTATTATTCTTTACTATCATGGTGTATAAATAACTTTTTCAGATTAATGTTACTGAATGATTTGTTTGCAATGGTGAAAGCTGGTCTGGCCAAAACGACTGAACTACTGAAATTCTTGAGAGCTTTCGAAGATGAAACAAATTCGAATGTGTGGTGCTCCATAGTGACTATCCTCGGTAGATTAGGGACACTTTTGAGTTACACTGATAATGGCGAAGCATTCAGAAAGGTTAGAAATAGATATTTTATATACAGGGTGATTCAAAATTCGATGTAAATATTTCAAGGGCGTATTGTTGAGATCAAAATAAGACTTTTTCTTCAAATCAACATGTGTCCTAAAATGCACCCCCTCCGAGCTACAGCCCCTGTAAGTTGGGAAAAAAAACAAGATTATCTAAAACTGTGACTATAATAACGAATCGAATCTTCTGAAAATTGGCATACCCCTGTTTTTTTAGGCACTCTATTCTTTTTTTGCTCCAAAAATTATGTAAACCCAGTTTTGGGGGAGTTGGAGGGGGGTCCACACTTTTATTGGCCCAATTTTTATGTTCAAAAAGAGAAACTATGAATTCGAATAGCATAATCTTATTGGCCATAAAAAAAACTGAGAATTCGGTGTCTTGCATTTTTGTCAAACAACTAACCGTTTGCCCGGTTTATTGGAAAATGTGCCTTTTAACATTCGTCTACGCATGTGGTTCATGCATGATGGTGCTCCCCCTCATTTCCGTTTAACAGTACGCCATCATTTGAATCTTATTTTTCCAAATCGTTGGATTGGTAGAGCTGGTCCAATAGCTTGGCCGCCACGTTCCCCGGATTGCACCCCATTAGACTTTTTTTTATGGGGATATGTGAAAAGTGCTGTTTATGATGCTGAGCCCGTGCATTCGGTTGAGGTCCTCCGTCAACGCATCATTGATGCTTTCCAAAACATAAGAACCACTCCTGGGATTTTAGAACGTGTTCGACGTTCTATGCAAAGAAGAATGGAAAGTTTTATAGCAGCAAGGGGAGGACATTTTCAACATTTATTATGAGATTAATAATTATTTAATTACCCAATAAAGTTAGTTTGATATTGTGAAAGTACCCCCCTTTCGTTGATTACGGTTTTCTGGCAAACGGTTAGTTGTATGACAAAAATGCAAGACACCGAATTCTCAGTTTTTTTTATGGCCAATAAGATTATGCTATTCGAATTCATAGTTTCTCTTTTTGAACATAAAAATTGGGCCAATAAAAGTGTGGACCCCCCTCCAACTCCCCCAAAACTGGGTTTACATAATTTTTGGAGCAAAAAAAGAATAGAGTGCCTAAAAAAACAGGGGTATGCCAATTTTCAGAAGATTCGATTCGTTATTATAGTCACAGTTTTAGATAATCTTGTTTTTTTTCCAACTTACAGGGGCTGTAGCTCGGAGGGGGTGCATTTTAGGACACATGTTGATTTGAAGAAAAAGTCTTATTTTGATCCCAACAATACGCCCTTGAAATATTTACATCGAATTTTGAATCACCCTGTATATTAAATGGAATCAACAAAAACCTCTACTTATTATTCATTCTAAAATACTAAATATACTTATAATGGGATGGATAGGTTGGATATTGATGATATGGTTAGATTTTAGAAGAGAATATATAAAAAAATGCAAAGTGAATTGTACAGGGTGATTCATTTCAGACTTGTAGTGAAGAAAGCGAACACGGTTCCAATACCAGGTCAAAAACGCTTTGGCAATTTGAATGAAATATTCACAATCACTGAAATACACTTGATATACTTACTAATTGTAGATCAAAACAATTGACTAATCACATAGACCATTTCAGAAATAAATTAAATCCAATCATAGGCTCTTTTCAAAATTTGAAATATTCCTGTAGAATATCTGAAGTGTATTTACTACTGCCTCATATATTTAAATTTATAAAATTCAATTTCTATTTGGGGGAGCACAAAAATTCCACGCTTCAAACCACTAATGAAATTACAAAACAAATGAGTGCACTTTTCTTCAAAATTTTCTAGATCCAACAGTAAATTTATACAAACCTAGAAATTTTCTAAATCTGATTTCGTTATATAAACTCGAAATATGTTGTTTTATTCATTTTGTCAGGAATAAAATATCAAACTTAGCATTTAATGAAGTCAATACAGTCCATACTTATGGGACTAGACTACTAGACAATTGAATTGCTTGATAGCAAATACATTCAAGTCGAAAGTTGGCAAACAATCTATAGGTATTTCATAATGGAGTAATTTTATACGATTCATTACCGAATGAATTGAAAAATATACACGATGTAAGAAGATTTTAAGTCAATCTTAAACAATACCTGATCAGGAAAATTTGATTGAACAATATTTGACATGATTTGATTACTCAGAATTGAAATGTTATAACTTTCATCTCAAGAAAAAGTATGAATCTGTTTCCACTGAGTGGAATACATTAGTTAAACTTTTATTATTATTATTATCATTGATATGTGTCCATGTAATCCCTATAATAAAAACAATCAATCAATCAATGTACTTTTTTGTATCAGTAAGCTCTCCAAAAAACTGATAGAAGCTTTTAATACGTTTCGTGCTCAATAGAGCAATGTCTGCTGACGTCACAACATGGCGCACTCGTCGTTTTCATCAGCTGATCGGGGGACAAACAGAGCTGTGTGTGAATTTTGATTATTATTTCTGACCCATTGGTGATTGTGTTGAACTAGAGTAGTTATTATACAAGAAGAATGTTTACATTTTCTTCCAAAATGAGTATATTAGGTATATTAGAGCTGAACTCAAGTAAATCCAGTAATTTAAAATTGACAAATAAACCAATTTGAACTCTTCTTTGGACTCATTCACTTCTCTCATAGGATTCCTGATGAATGAATTAACAAACATGTCATTGAATAAATGCTTCAGGTATTGTATTTTAGTGGTAAATGTGCAAGAAAGTTACATGTACCCTTATGCAAAATGTGTATGCTTGTCCCCCCATCAGCTGTTCAATGGCCGACAATCTTACGTCAAATTACGTCACTGACAATGCTCTATATAACATCAATTTTGTACCATCATTGGAGCTGGAAATAACTTGTTTTTATTGCCCTAATGCTTGGATTTTCCTCGTCTAAATTGCACTTTTTTCAGTATCAAAAAACGCTGTTGAATAAGATTTATCTGAAACTCGGCTGGAATCCTCATCCTTCTGAAACCCACGTGGACGCCCTTTTGAGAAGCATTATTTTGAACCGTTTCGCCTCTTTGGGAGATGAAAACATGATGAAAGAAGCGAGAGAAAGATTTTCCAAACATGTGAAATCGGAAGAAAAGCTGTCGGCTGACCTGAGAAGCGCTTGCTACAAATGTGTCCTTTTGAATGGAGGGAGAAGAGAGTTCGAGACTCTTTTGGAACTGTATAGATCGACAGATCTCAATGAAGAAAAAATGAGGATTGTCCTTAGTTTGGGCTGTACGAGGAAAGATGAATTACTCAAAGAGTTGCTACAATTTGGTCTGTCTGTAAGTGTGAATCTTCAACTGGGTACCTGATTTTTCTCAATAGAGTAGAATAGAATAGATTTATTTCTAAGAAAACATGGGTTGGAACAAGTTCCAGTATTTACAAATGTATACTTGACTAAGTACAAAAAATAATAATTTATAACAGAATAGAAACATCGCTAACCGGAATTCGCGAGATTCACGAAGTGAGCGACATCTAGGTTACATAATACGAACTTCAAACTGGGGGAAAACAAACTGTTGTCTATGGTAGTCAAACTTGTCAATGACATAAAGTGTTGGCACTGTTGGTAGTGATGATGGTTGAGTTGGTTAATTTTTTTACATTATTACAGTTTTATTAGTTTAGTGAACAGTGAACGGGTGAAGAATTGGAGATAGTTCAAACAATTCAAACTAATTATGACGAGCAAATCAATGTTTACAATACCCAGATTGTCCTGCTTTGCATGAACAAATACAAATCCATTGTTCTACAGGAGTTCCTCTGGACCCCAACTTCAATATTACTTCATGTGGGGAAAATTTCATCGCTGAAGTTTGTAGACAAAGTGCAAAAATGTGCCTTTTGTTGAAGTCTTCTGCCTCACACAAAATCACATGATTAGCACGGAGAACTGCTTCTCCTTCCACTACTGGTCGGCTTTTTCCATCTAAATAGAGCAAAATATTTGCCAAAAGAACATCTACAATAGGTATTATTAGCGTTTCCGATCGAATATTGACAATTAATGTCAAGAAATTTAAAAACATCACTCTTATCAGTACACAGTACACAAGCTAATGGCACTAATGGGATTGAGTTTGTTTTCCCTCAGTTTTGACGTGGCTTTGACATGATACGATGAAAACCGAGCGCCACCTGGTGACATTGATTCCCGCGAATAGACATATTTAGATAAAACAGAAAACACGTTGTGCATTTGAATATTTTTAGTACAAAAAAGAGAAAATAAATCCTCAAAACATTATTTGTAGGGGCGAAATTATCATCCATAAGGTATTCACCAACTGTAAGACTTAGATCGCCTTATTAATCAAAATTTCTTTTATTTTTATCTTAAATATTCTAGAAGGAATTGTAGCACCCATGTAATGAGCGCTCTTTTGGAATAATGTTGTGTTGTGTGGGGGTAGGATGATTAGGCTAGAAGATTGTCGAGTTTGGGAGCTGGCAAACTGATAGTTCCTTTTATTATTGTGTACGAACACTAAGAGATTATTTATAGATGAACTTGGTAAAGTGAGAATTTCCATCTGTACAAAATGATCCTTACAAGGCTCTCTTCTTTTCAATTTTTCATTATCCTGATTGCTCATTTTTGCAACACGAAAGCTGACCCCAATCGAAGCTTATTCCATTTCGAACACCACGAGAGACATGACCCGACTGTTTTGAAATTTACAGCAGATTTAGCAGAAGCGTTTTCAGCCGTGCAATTTGGATGAGATTTTCGGATTGCTGGGATATGCCGAAAAGCGGTCTAGACTCTAGATAGTAGATAATGGTAGATATGTCAGTGGAGTAAACAGATCGTTTTGACAGCTTTCAAAATCCCCGTTAAAAAAATATTTTTCTACAAACGCCTAACAAAGTAGCCTTTGACGATTTCAAATTCCAACACAAAGTTGATGTTTTCCAAGAAATGTCATTCTTTGAAAGCATTTGCGCTCATGAGCGGAAATATAGGTCGCGTGCAGGCAAAATATTGAAACACAACCTCATTCTTCTGTGATTTATTGAAACACAACCTCACTTTTTTACTTGGTTACAAAGGAATCAAAGGATTGAACTAGTTTTTCACAATATTTTGGCATACGAATCGTGTTTTTTGTGCTATTCATTAATTTGAGTATGCCTTCGCATTGTGCTGTTGTACAATGCACAAAAAATGCAGCAAGAGACTAAAGAATATGATTTTTCAGGTAAATAGTAATCTCACATAGTTATCATTATGAAATGTTGTCATTCCTTATTAAAATTCCTTCTGCCTTCTGTCACTTCTGCAATACAAGCTAATACTGCTAATAGATTGAAAATGTCTACAACACACACGATCGTCAGCATGTCAGACCAGTCCTCCCGATTGATTGCATGAATCCAATTTTCTGGCATTATTTTAGAAATTTCAGATGTATTTCTATTAGCTTCTATCGCAGAAAGAATTCCGATGAGAAATCAGAGAAATTACCAAATTTCAAAAATGAAAACTATATGTGAGTGACTATAGTGGGTACATTACTTTTGTATCATATTGTACCAACCGGATTACTTCGTCTTCCGGTGCAGTTTTTGTGCATTTCACAACAGCATAATGTGATAGCATGAGCGAATTGATGAATAGCGGAAAAATACGATTCGTATGCCAAAATAATTGTGAAAAACTATTTCAATCACTTGTAAACGAATAAGTAAAGTGACGTTTGTGTTTCAATATTTTGCCTCCAGTGTCGGTCATCTGACAGTTCTTGCACGCAACCCATTGAAAAAACGCTCGCATATCGCTGTAACCTATACTTGAAAACCCCCAATTCTCTCATGATGGAAAATGTGACAGTGAACTATCAAACACACCTCCTGATATAGCAGAAAGTGCAAAAGTTTGAATCTTTCACCGGAGAAATCAAGAAAGAAATATGAATTACAATATGATACATTCATAAATTGGTGCCTCTCCAAGAAGGTGAATAAGTATTCAAAAAACGTTTTACTGGCTCATTTCTATGAAAAATCAAAGACTGAAATCATCAACTCTTTGGGCTGTATATTCGATGATACGTATACATGCTTGAATGTTAAAAATAATATCGAAATAGTATCCGAAACTCATTGCATTTCTCAAGTAACAAAAAACATTCACCGCTGAAGATATATAATATATATACCAACAAATTTTTACAAGAAGCTCCCGATGAAGAATATCTGTTGAAACAGGTAAATTATACTTTATATTTTTCAAACTCTTTATTATCATCAGAAAAACAGTGTATCTTTATTTCATTGCGTCAATGATTTATATGATCAATTTGATTGTAGAGTTTATTGTACTATGGCTCAGAGATCTGAAGCGCGGTTTGCCACGCTGGTATTCCGGGTTCAATTCTCGGTTGGCACGACATTTTTTTTTCTGACTTGTCAGTTATTTCAAGTTCTTTTTTTTGTTCGTTGGACATATGGGATAATGGATGAGAACTATTTCAATCGCTCATACTTTCAGGGTAGCTAATTCCAAAAGCTGCGTTTGTAGAAAAAATCTTGTGTGTATTTCGAGCACAAAGTGTCATTGCCGCTCTCCAAAGATTACCGCGCTCCGCTTCGCATGGCGCGGTAACTTTCTTTGTCGAGCGGCAATCTATCACTTTGCGCTCTAAATATACAGGGTGAGTCAAAAATGTGTACCGAGCTTTCTGGGGGTGATAGAACATTGAAAAATAAGTGTAGTTTGATGATTAAACTCATGGCCCAAAATGCATATTAAGGGAGATATATCCTTCCAAAGTTGATAAAATTAAAATAATTTCTCCGCATAACTTCTGAACGATGAAAGCCACCCGATTGAAATTTTGTGCATGAATGTATGTTGTCAAAATACATTTTTTCGTCACACTTCCACATTTCTGATATTGCTATAAAGGGTGTTTTCAGAGGGTGAGTCATGATTTTTTGTAGAAAACTTTTTTCTCTGTATTATTTTCGGTGAAAAAACAGGAGCATTTGATGAAGCGAAGAAAATTACATGAAAAGGTACTCTTATTCAAATACAAAAAACTGAGCCGTTCGTGAGATATTTGAGTTTTTGTAGTTACATGATATCAGCAGATTGATTTTATTCATCGCGAGATTCATCGGAAACAATATTTTAGCAGGCCATGATGAATAATTTTGTTCTCAATTTTGACGTTCATGTCATCAACATTCGAGTCAACATTGTTGTAGTTGATTTGTTCGTGTGGTTTTTCTGTGTCATTTATCACTGCGATTATCAACTGAGATTTTAAGAAATATGGCAGGTTATTCGTTCTCTGAACAAACTGATATGCTTCTAATGCTTGGCGAGTGCTTATGCATGATGGAGCATCACCTCATTATGTAAGAGTTGTACGTGAATGGCTTTATGATAATTTTCCTGATAGGTGGATAGGACGAGGCATAGACGCTCCTATTTCCTGGCCCGCTCGTTCGCCTGATCTCAATCCACTAGATTTTTCGATCTGGGGTTACATGAAATCTAGGGTTTATTCAAGCGAAATTCGGAATGTTGAGGAGCTGAGGCAAAAAATTGTGAACGAATTTACGTTGTTGAAAAATGATCACCAAACTATGAACGGTTTGATGAATAATTTACGTAAACGCCTCAGATTATGTATAACCGAAAACGGTGGACATTTCGAACAGCTACTTTAATTTGTTTTTTTCCTTTTTCTTCCATTCAAAATTATGTATTAATTAAAAGTACCAAAAATATTATCAAACTTTTATTTTTATTCAAACCTTGTTGGGACAGACTTATGCTATGTACTTATTGCTCAGTAACGTGGCACAGGGAGGTGATATTATCGACAAAATTAAAAACAAAATTGTTCATTGGCCTGCTGAAATATCGTTATACCGATGAATCTCGCGATGAATAAAATCAATCTGCTGATATCATGTAACTACAAAAACTCAAATATCTCACGAACCGCTCAATTTTTTGTATTTGAATGAGAGTACCTTTTTCATGTAATTTTCTTCGCTTCATCAAATGCTCCTGTTTTTTCACCGAAAATAATACAGAGAAAAAAGTTTTCTACAAAAAATCATGACTCACCCTCTGAAAACACCCTTTATAACAATATCAGAAATGTGGAAGTGGGACGAAAAAATGTATTTTGACAACATACATTCATGCACGAAATTTCAATCGGGTGGCTTTCATCGTTCAGAAGTTATGCGGAGAAATTATTTTAATTTTATCAACTTTGGAAGGATATATCTCCCTTAATATGCATTTTGGGCCATGAGTTTAATCATCAAACTACACTTATTTTTCAATGTTCTATCACCCCCAGAAAGCTCGGTACACATTTTTGACTCGTCCTGTATAGCTATATTGTTCTTGTCAGAAAATGGAATATTCATTCGTCATTTTCCAGGACGAGGTGAAAACACAGGACTCGACCCTGGTGATCAGCTCGGTGGCCCAAACGAAGCCAGGCAGAGATTTGGCGTGGCAGTTCCTCAAAAACCATTGGGACGGGCTCACGGGAGCCGGTCCCTTGCTCTCGAGGCTGGTCAAGCAGGTGACCGAGAATTTCGCGAGCACGGAGAAAGCCGACGATGTCCGAGCGTTCTTCGGGGGTAAAAGGGACTCGAGGGTGGAGAGGAGCGTTCAACAGGCTCTGGAAACAATCGCTTTGAACGTCGCATGGTTGGAAAGGGATGCCGATGATATCAAAACGTATTTGAATGCTTGTTGAGACTATATTGTACCTGAGGCATTTCGTGTTATTGTGTTGGTTACAACTACTGTCATATTCAGTGTCACTTGTCAATGTCAGTCTGTCTCTGTTTGAAGAACAAAAGTGGTCGAAAAGACGTTTCCAGTTTGAATTGATAATGAAATAGCAAATTTCGTTTACATTTGACATTCGGATACTTGGTAGCCAACCTCTAACTATGAAATGTCGTGTTACCATTCAATATATAATATATGGTATATCATGGAATAATGTGAATTATTCAATAGATTATTACAAATACTCTTGGTATTTCCTTTATTCATTACCTGACAGTTATAGTGAATTATTATTGTCCTAATTATTTTACATCTTGTACTAACTTGAATAAATATATGTCAACTGTTTCTTTCATCAGGAAAACTTGGACTGCTCCAGGTCCCCTTTTATAATTACAAAAACCTTTTTTTTTTTTTTGTTCATTTTGTGTTTGCATATACAGTGTGTCCCACTCACCATGCTCACCATGGGTATCTTTTTAACGGTGAGAGATACGAGGTCGGGTAAATGACACCAAATATGGAGTTTGTCAAGGCCAACTTTAATGTGAAAAAATATTATGATAAAATCTATTCGTTTTTGTTTTATACGCAAAAAACAGATTTTGATCATTTTCCTGTCTCCTCCGTAACTTCTTTATTTATGAAAATATTCAAATAGGAATTTCACATTCTCATGGCAGTTTTTCAAAGTGATTTCGAAAAAAATATGAAATTTATACCAACTCTTCTAGAATTTGAGATAAAAAAAATTCCATAACTCCGATTAACTTGGAATTTGGCAGGTGTTCATAATTTCGAGGACAATACATTATGGAATTTTTGTTGAAATTAAAAAAAAAATGGCTGCTCCAAGATGGCGGACAAGATTTGGTCCGATTCCATTCAAAATGGGTGGGGGTTTTTGAGGTCGGAGATCAAGATTTTTTTGTTAAAATTTAAAAATTCAAGATGGCGGCTTCCAAATAATTTTTTGTTTTTGTATAAATGACGATAACTCCGTTGTTATCAACACAAAACCATTACTGCGACACATCATCTGAAAGAAAAAAAAAAGTTATTTGTAACTAAGTCATAGTGAGCTATGACCTACATTTGAAAAACTAAAGTTGGTACTGATGTCTCAAATTCTTCTAAGAGTTGGTATAAATTTCATATTTTTTTCGAAATCACTTTGAAAAACTGCCATAAGAATGTGAAATTCCTATTTGAATATTTTCATAAATAAAGAAGTTACGGAGGAGACATGAAATAAAAATGACCAAAATCTGTTTTTTTGCGCATAAAACGAAAACGAATAGATTTTATCAAAATATTTTTTCACATTATAGTTGGCCTTGACAAACTCCACATTTGGTGTCATTTAACGGACCTCGTATCTCTCACCGTTAAAAAGATACCCATGGTGAGCATGTGGGACACACTGTATATTATATTGCGAGTATACCTAGATAACATATGGTAAACTGTTGATAAATGATATATTAATTTAGTGACTTATAGAATGAACTTGAAATAATCTGAAGTTGAATGTAAATGTCATTTAACCTATAAACGTCAAAAAATTTCCAGTGTAATTTCATACTCAATCCCCGAAGGAGGAAAAAATTTCCCAGAAATTTGTTTAGTTGCTATGGTAACGATAGGAAATACAGGCTTCAAATTGATCGAAAATGAAAAATGAAAATTGTCACCTAAATTATGAACTTCAAAATAATATTAGTTTGACGTAACAGAAATGGGCATGACTGTCGCAGATGTGTTTGCTTCTGTACATCGTAGCCAAGGTAGATATTGACACTAGTATGGAAAATTCGTGATATCGCAGTGTGGCATCATCGCGACATCTCAGAGATGTCATGTCGCAGATGTGCTTGCTCATCGCTCTGTTACCTAAACGCGACATCTCAGAGATATCGTGTTCCAGATGTGTTGGCTGGGATATAACTTTTTACGTAGTCTTAGGCAACCAGATGACGAATGGTTACGTCACTGGGACGGACTCAATTGGTGATTTTTCGCAAGAGGCGTCACATATAATATGATTTCTATGGGCGTCACATACAAATCTCTGACGTCACTGTAACGTAATTTCTATGTCGTGATAATCCCGTCATCATTATGACGTTGATTTAACGTCGTCGTATGACGTGTCAACATCATATGCTTCTCTATAGTTCGGTATGTGTATGTATAATATATATACAGGGTGTCCCAAACTCGCGCAAAGCATCGAAAACTGAACACAATCTGTGCATACTGTAATTGCCTGGGAAGGCATTCTCAGCCTTCACAGGTATATATAGAGAACTCCAAAATGATAAGGTGTCCTACAAAGAAGAAAATTTCGTGAGACCATCTTCGGAAAGTTAAATTTGGAGAAAAATCGTAAATGATTTTATCACACTTGAAAACTTATTATACCGGTAGTGTAAAACCTGGAGAATATAAGCAGTATACTACTGCCCCCCCTCCAATAGCGTGACTCTGGATGAGGTGACAGATTCAGCAGATTCCATATTATGACTTCTTGTCTCGCCAGGTATTTCCATTATTTCAAATACGGATCAAAAATACGACGATTTTCATTGTTCTACTTCCAGTACACCCTGTAGTGAAATGGGCCATTGTCAAAGCACTTCAATGTGTGTTGTCTGTTTAATAATATTGCGATTGCAATCATGTAGTTCATTCCAGTGGCTAACTGCCTAAGTAAACGCCGATCGTGGTATGAGCCACTGCGTAACGGCATGTATACAAAAACCAAACAAAACACGTTTTTTTTTCCATAGTTCCCATTCATTTATTCGAAATTTTGTCAGTTCTTGTGAAACAGCAACGTCAATGTCAAAAAGTTCGTCCGGTATTTTGCGGTTGCTAATCAGCAATTCAATCCCAAAACCTCCAGTTCCGAATCGGGCAATCAATAACAAAAATAATCGCTATCGCTGCACCGGCAGTTTACCGTTAGAAAAGTACAGTAAGGACGTCCCTGTTGTGGTCCCTGTCCCCCACGATCGTAGACACTCCTCCTTTCGCCTGCGCTTATCTGTAACCGAATCGCTTGCTGTGTCAGTGGGGCGAAATCATCGTATTTGTGAACGTAGTTGTAGCACTGAATTTAGTTGTAGTAAGCGGTTTTATTCGAGTCTGCAGACGAGTGTAACGATGCCAGAAGGAAAAGGAAAACCGTTCGAAAGATTGCCGGAAAATGTCAAGCCCAAGCACTACACACTTTCCCTGGTACCGGACTTGAGGAATTTAACTTTTCGAGGTGATGTCTCCATTCAGATTGAGGTAGGTTTATGATGGTTATCTATCCATATGCCGGTACTTTATTTTTCAAAACTGATGAATTTTAAAAAAGTTGTGATTGTTTTATTTGTGCTACATGCATAATTAGATCAAAATTTGGATTCAACATTAGCCAAGTGTTTTGGTTCAAGTCCAATATTGACCTCGTTATGTAGAGATTTGTTTTAAAATTTTGAGGTTACCTATCATGACATCTACTTTTCCATAAAACTTATTGATCTAAAAATATCCAGATAAATAGCAAACATTTACCTGCATTTACACTAACATCAATCACCAAGTTTTTCATTCAGAAAGAAAATTGCAAGAAGAGGTTTTAAGTTAGCCTAATTTTCAAAATATTATGTGAAAGTGGCTAAAGCTGCGGCGGACAAGACAGGGTTGGCTCGGGGGGGAAATACATGAAAACACGTGACACCTGTAAAAGTTGTTGTTGGGCTAACTTTCACGGTATTTTGTTATTTGTTAGTTCTATAAGAAACTGAATGAGAGCATTATACTCTTGGCAGCCAGTAATCCATTTTTTGGTAATTTTGCATTTGCACTTATCATACGATGGGTTTTTTTTTCGAAATTTTTTTTTGAACTTACGTATTTTTATCTGAAAAACACGAATTTGATCATGAAAATGTGAACAAACACTATTTATCGAGATATTTCAATGTGTATTGACTGATTCACTGTATACTATAATACTCATCTTGTAAATATCTATGAAAGTAAAGAATTATTCTTCCATTTATCTACTACTTTTTGTTTAAAATGTCACATATTTTTCAGTTTTTGTATTGTTTCAAAAATATGTTTATTTGATGTCTCGGATGTATCCACCTTGTTTTTTACCAGGTTTTTTAGTGGTTCACTGTGAATTCATCACTGTTTCCATAAGACGGTGCATAATGAACCAATTGACATGTTTTTTTTTTAAATATAATTCACTTTGTTGATTTGAACCATAATTGTGGCCGCCGGGCTTTTGTTTCCAACACCCTAGAGTACTTAGACAAAATAAAATTGGCGTTCATTATAAACAAAAGTGATTCACTGGGGGACAATTTAACTACATTTTGCAAACTTTTTATATTGATACCTTCATGAAGAAAAAAATCGGATAAGTTAGTAGGTATGTACCATTACAGAAATAGATTAATAGACATAACTGAATACAGCGGCGGACCCAGAGGGGACACCAGAGGCAACCGCCCCCGCCCCCCCTCCGCCGAGAAATCGAGTTCTACAGAGATATAATAATTTTCGTTTGATATATTATATAGAACGAAAATTATTTTACCCTCGAGCCACCAATTACAAAAACTAATATTCCATTCAAAAACAGGATCTGACGAAGTAAATCACAATTTATCTTTACCGGACGGGAGAAAGATTAGAACATTGTGATAAGATATATTTTCGTAGTATAAAACCCTCGATAAAACCGTATAAAACCATATTATACAATCATTTCTGCTGCTTCGGATTTACAGATTGATCTATAAAACTAACATACGTTGAAGCCAGTCTAAGGCGGAACGCAAATTCATAGAAAAATTTTGGGTGAATACAGGAACTTTTTACAGGAGATCATTATTCATATATACCCTCGTATATACATACCATTATTGAAAAATGTAATATAAATGACCTGGAGAGTATAGATTTTCCAGTGAGACTCTGAAGTCTGAAATGTCATGATCTGCTACTCATTTCACCAATACCAACAGGTACCCTGAAATGTGATACGGATCCCGAAATTTGAATAAAAATAGATAGGAAGAGGTACCAAGAAATTCTTTTGATGGTTTATCTACCATTAGTTTCCAGAGTTCGGAAGGTTTTTATGAGATTCAAATTTGACTGATGTGTAGGATTGGAGAATTGGAAAATTGGTAAATTTTGCAATATGCTCTCCCATCACTTTCGTTTTCACCGCAAATGACTCCAACTTTTGATTTTCCATTAGGTACTTGATTATACAGGGTGGCCCACGGTCGATGATACCTTAGACGTATACGGAAAACGGTACATTGGATTATCCTGAAAATTTGGTTACTCTAATAAGCGTTTGTGATCTAACGATTCAAAATATTTTCAGCGAAGCAGCGTTGCCACTTTTACCAAAAAGTAGCATCATCTTTGTTATTTCAAATGGAACACCCTGTATTTTATTGCGTTTTTAGATTCTTCTCGAAGAGCTGATTTCATCAATGCATCACACTTGGGGTCTAGCAGGAATTATTACAGAGATATAGGGTGTTCAAAATCGAGATTTTTCAACTTTAGGATTTTTTGTGTCGAAACTATTCATCATTGGTCAAAACGGCTTACATGTCCCTATATTAACTTTTGATTAACTATCTACCGACATTTAATTGGAAAAAATACAGGATGATCCAAGATTCAGAATTTTGATCACCCTGTATCTGTTCCAATTAAATGTCAGTAGATAGTGAATCAAAAGTTAAGATAGGGACATGTAAGCCGTTTTGATCGATAATGAATAGTTTCGACCCAAAAAATTCCTGAAATTGAAAAATCTCGATTTTGAACACCCTATATCTCTGTAATAATTCCTGCTAGACCCCAAGTGTGATGCATTGATGAAATCAGCTCTTCGAGAAGAATCTAAAAACGCAATGAAATACAGGGTGTTCCATTTGAAATAACAAAGATGATGCTACTTTTTGTTAAAAGTGGCAACGCTGCATCGCTGAAAATATTTCAAATCGTTATATCCGAGGTTAGATCACAAACGCTTATTAGAATTACCAAATTGTTAGGATCATCCAATGTACCGTTTTCCGTATACGTCTAAGGTACCATCGACCGTGGGCCACCCTGTATAATTTGTTAGGGATAATCATAACGGATCAAATGATACCGGTTATGATAGGGTTATTTTAGTAATCGTTACGAAGATATACGCTCTCAAAATTCCCATATACCTGATGATCGTGACAGAGAAGGAAGTTTGGATATTACAACGTCACACCTATTGAACGCGCAAATATCTTATCAATATCTATCAAACCTGGTAATCCTGGTATCATTGCATTGGTTATGATAATCCCTAACTGATTATGGAATTGAATACACGGTGTCCCATTTGAAATTGAGAAATTGGAGTCGAGGTTGGAGTAGTGTCTGGCAAAACCGGAAGTGTCAGAAGAGTACCTATATTGTATCGAAAAATTTTTACAATTTTTGAATCCATCACACCTTCCAAGTTTGAGTTTCATGCGAGGTTCCATGCCTTCAGAACTCTGGAAACCATGGCTTGTCTAATGAATACGTTAATACCCGGTATATTCTGTTCATTCCATAATAGGTATGTAGGTAGACCCTCGGTAGACCCTAGCTGTACTCTCAAACAAAGTTTTCCATTTCCACATGAGACACTCTTGTTTTTTCATTTATTTTCCTTTAAACGACAACAGTACATTTTGTATAGGAATAGTCAATCTAGAAGAATACATTACAAAGTAATAAGTTATATGGAAACAGTGAAATAAAAGCTATCCAGTATGCTGGACAGTTCTAACTGAATAAAATTCATCAATGGAGTAAAAACAATGTTCTAACAGAAACGATTTCAAACCAAATTCGAATTTGAATTGTTCAATATCACAAAATGTATTGATATCATGTGGCCTATATAATTCGGAGAGTTCTGTGCTTTTTTTTTATCGCTTGGTGCGCACGAAAGGGAATTCCTATAATGTTCAAAGAACATCGTGCGTTCCTAGGGAGGATAGGGATAGGATGTAGGTATTGGAATTTTTTTTGAACTTCTGGAGATTATATGTTGTTGGGAATACTTCCTCAGGCAATGAATTCCAGAGCCTAGCCGTTCTATGGATGAAGGAGTTTTGATAAAGTGCTGTTCGACATCTTTCGAGGTTGACAACGAATGGATGTGCTGACTGGGCTTGTCTAGTTCGTCTGACTGGTATTGCTAGTGAAGGGATGATAGCAGAGATTTCCGAAACACATTTCCCGTGGAAGTATCGATAGAAAAGTGAAAGGTCGCCGACCTTTCTACGGTGTTCCAATGATGTCAAGGAGTGAGTGAGTGTGGCGTCACCCACCAGGCGGATGGCTCTTCTCTAGATGGAATCTAAGAGCATCAGCGTATGTTTTTGTGCTGAACCCCATATGAGGGAACAGTATTCTAGAACAGGCCGTATCTGCGCTTTGTAGATCATGAGAAGTTGTTGAGGTGTAAAGTAGCTTTTCGCACGGAACAGAAATCCGAGTTTTTGTGAAGCAGCTTTTGCAATGGATCTGACATGATTATCCCATGAAAGAGGGTTGCTGATGGAAATACCGAGCATAGATATGGTGGGCTTGGTGGGGATGGTGGTGCCAGACATTACAATGTCGGGCATACTGAGTTCCGCCTTTCTAGAGAAAATACAGGCTTGAGTTTTGGTGGCGTTGAATTCAACTAAATTGTTGGTTCCCCAGGCTGTGATTTCAGCAAGGTCTTCATTGACAGCATTGACCTGCCTGCGCCGTGAGTTCTTAATTTCCTGGGAAGAAATGGGAATTCTGGAAGAGAACGCAGTATGGAGGGTACTATCATCTGCAAAGCTGTGGATGGGGCAAGTTGTTACTCCCAACAGATCATTGATATGAAGAAGGAATAATGTTGGTGCCAAAATTGATCCTTGTGGAACGCCGGAATTGATGCCAATGGTATCAGACGACACCGTCCACCACCACATGAAGCGATCTGCTTGTTATTTTATACCTAGCACTCCTAGCAGCAAGGGTGTGAATTTCATTTTTCCTACGAGTATTAATATTGTGCAAATCCTGTACCCTGCACCTCTCGCTATACCTATAATTCACCATTATAATAAGTCGATGAGAATTCGACAACACTATCATTTTGTGAAAATAAAATCATCACATAAAATTAATTGCCCGCGAAAAAGCTTGCTTAATCCGCCGCTGATTGAATAGACGTATCTCGAGAATTA